TTTCGAATAAATAAAATGTTGGCCATTTTAAATATCGATCATTTAGAATTTCGTTCAAATAAAATATCGACTTAAGGCCAGGTCCAAGTGAGGCAGCGCCATCTACATTGATACTAAAATTTTGGAAAATTTTTAACAGCCTTTTCTTGAAAACAAGATGGTAAAATGCTTTTTTCTTTATGGATAATTGATTATTCTCAAGATATACACCAGCTAAAACTTTTTTTGAGTTAAAATAATGAAAAAAATTTCATGTCGATAAATTAAATATGAGCACTTTTTTCACAAAAACTGTAACAGTACTTTCTCAGAAATTACAATCAAAAATGCAATTTCCATTTGGAAGATTAATAAACGCTAAAAAATACACGACCTAAGATTTACCAATCACGAAAATAAAAAAAAAATTTTATTAAATATTTAACATATTGATACTGCTTTACTGATTGTGACAGCCCTTTGGTTAATTATGTGTATTTCAGGTGGTTAGCAACAGCGCCAATTTCCTCCTTTCGGCAAAACCGCGAAACGTCTGGTGACATATATAACCTGCCAAACGGCTGTCATAATGAGTAAAATATGTTATGTTAAAAAACTTTTTTTTTGTTATTTTCGTGATTGGTAAATCTTAGGTGGTGTATTTTTTAGCGTTTATTAATTTTCCAAATGGAATTTGCATTTTTGATTGTAATTTCTGAGAAAGTACTGTTACAGTTTTTGTGAAAAAAGTGCTCATATTTAATTTATTGACATGAAATTTTTTTTATTATTTTAATTCAAAAAAAGTTTTAGCTGGTATATATCTTGCCAATAATCAATTATCCATAAAGGAAAAAGCATTTTACCTTCTTGTTTTCAAGAAAAGGCTGTTGAAAATTTTCCAAAAATTTTAGTTTCAATGTAGATGGCGCTGCCTCACTTGGACCTGGCCTTAATGTAATTCGATCAATTAAATTTTCGACCTTTTTAATTTTTGGGAAAAATCATGCGCCTCAACATATGCGTTAGAAAAGGACAAAAAAGTGTAGGCATATATCTGTCCACGAGTGTATAATATATAAAAGCTATATATTAAAATTCCCTAGGAAAAAAAATGGCTACTTCACTTTCTAGAGAGTTAAATTCTCTTTTCGGGCCAACGCAGAATAGAAACGTAAACGGAATCATAACCGCAATCACAACCAGAAGAATAAGTTATAAAGAAGGACAAACAATATATGTCTATCCTTCTCTAACTCATTCTTCCGGTTGTGTTTGCGATTACGATTCCGCAGTTATGTTTCTATTTTGCTCAGGCCTTTCTAAAGAAATATAAACCTATAATTTTTTTCATATGAATAAAAGTAAAATAGAGAATAAAAAAAATTTAATATAATTCTTATAATAATACAATAATTTTTGGGTTAAAATTTTTAATTCGACTGTATTTTTTTTTCTATTCTTGTAAAATATAAAGAGACTTGTGTAAATTGGATGAAATTATATTGAGCTGCAGCTTTTTTAAATGGTGTTTTTGAAGATTTTTTTGTTTTGTTTTGAAAAGTAAAAGAGATACAAAGAGAATAGCGCGAGGTTTTTCTTTTTTACCAAAAAAAGAGAGTGAGAGAGACAGAGTGTTTGTGTGTGTGTGTGAGTGTGCGAGTGAGAAAGAAAGAGACGAATCTTCTAAGTCGAGTGGCATTTACAGAGGTATATTTTTAGGTAGTGGTCATGTCTGTGAGGACAAAGCTAAAAAGTATATGTATGTCAAGTCGTTGATGTAGCACCATTTTTAAGTTTCTTGCTGTGAATTTCATGCACACTTTTTAGCGGAATATAAAAGGCGTCCCACTGTCTTCAGAGGAATGTCATCTTATTTTTGCAGAGTTTATCTCAAAAAAAAAAAAAAAAAAATTGTGATTTTTAATGTTGGTCTTTTTAAAGTTTCCCTATTTATAAAAATATATATATATGTTATCAAATACAATTGTCGAAGCCAAACAAAATAACAATAATTCTGGAATATTTCTTAACCTGAAAAAAAAATGAAATCATTTTTGTCAACGCTAGAAAACTTTTAACAATTTTAATGTGGATTTTTTTCTATTATATATAATGCTTTGCACCTCTTTGGAATTCATTACATTTTTTTTCAACTGTTTCAGTTTATTTACTATTTTATAAAGAAAAATTTTTATTTTGTTTTTCTATCATTTTGTTTTTAACAAAAAAAAAAAAAAAGTAATTTTTATGCTTTTTAATATAAACAAATAACTAGTTCTCTATAATTAAAATTGAATGCTAAAAATTTTTTTCTAAATTTTTATTATTATAGATACTTTTTATGTATTTTTTTTTATGCAGGGTGATTTGGAGCACAAAAAAGATTTTTCGTTTTTTTGAAAATATAAAAGAGAAAATTTTTTTGTGATCTATAATTATCGCACTCTATATAAAAGTTGATTTTGTTATATTCGTTTTTATTAGCACCTAGTGATATATTTTTATGAAAATAATGTTTTCTTTTATTAAAAAAAATTTTTTCTTTTAATTAGGCAGGAAAATTTACTTGTTTTTTTTTTTCGTTTTAATTATGATTTTGTGTGTACTGTTTATTATCATTTATCTGTCTTTTATTTCTGCCATTTTCGATATAGCATGTTCATATTTCGCTTCAGTGCATGCACTGTCAATCAGGCTGCTGGATGCTATGTGAGATACTGTTGATACTTATCAGTCCCAATGAGCAGTCAAGTGCAAGAATGCAACCGCCTTTTATGTGTGCTTCACAAAACCATCGCCAACGGTTGATGGTAAGAGGTGTGACCAATAAATAAATTATTAAAAAAAAAAAAAAAAAAAATTGTCTATAATACTTACTGCTTTTAAATAATAATTATCAATTACTGCAAAATTTATTATATTATAGCATTTATACACCACATATAATGCAATCCACTCATTATTATTATTAATGAAACTGCGGCAATTTTATTTTTCGCCGAAATATCAATTTGATTATTTCATTTTTTTTTATATTAGATTATATATATTTATATTATTCTCATGCATTATTTTTTCTTTTATAAATTAGTTTTTTAATAAAAGGTAATAAATAAAAAATATAAATGTAACATGTTCTGAAGAAAGGGAGCTAAGCAAAAAAATGTTAGGTTATGTTTATTTTAGTTTTGCGATTAAAGGCCTGAGCAGAATAGAAACGTAACCGGAATCGTAATCGGAAACGCAACCGGAAGAATGAGTTAGATAAGGATAGACATATTGTTTATCTTTCTCCAACTTATTATTCCGGTTGTGTTTACGGTTAAGGTGCTTATATACCTCAAATTTCGATCAGATGAACATTATTTCTGGACCGTGAAAATGCGTGAAAAGTCATTTTCACGGCGGGTATTTTTGAATTGTTTTATACAAAAAATGTTTTTTTAAGAAATATAATATTAAATAATTGTTTTAATATGTAAGAACATTTTAAAATAGTGATAGAGAGATGATTTGATTAAAAAATTTAGCAAATTTTGCTTTAAAACGTTTTCTGCTACAAGAAAGTGTAAAATGACGATGTTTGTGAAATGGTTTGTACAGTGCTTCTTCCTTGTGAGTGTCTCTCAGAGTTTTGTTTATGTTATGTCGTTTCTTTTTAACTTGTAATAAATAATGAGTGCTGAAAATAAATCGGTAAGTTGAAATGTTTATCAAATAAATTTAAATTCTACTAATTGTTTCGAATAACTGAAAGAAACATGTACACATGTACACTGTACAAACCATTTCACAAACATCGTCATTTTACACTTTCTTGTAGCAGAAAACGTTTTAAAGCAAAATTTGCTAAATTTTTTTATCAAATCATCTCTCTATCACTATTTTAAAATGTTCTTACATATTAAAACAATTATTTAATATTATATTTCTTAAAAAAACATTTTTTGTATAAAACAATTCAAAAATACCCGCCGTGAAAATGACTTTTCACGCATTTTCACGGTCCAGAAATAATGTTCATCTGATCGAAATTTGAGGTATATAAGCACCTTTACGATTCCGATTACGTTTCTATTCTGCTCAGGCCTTAAAAGTTTTATATTAAATACAAAAAAGCAAAATCAGTTTTAATTTTGAATTTTAGTTCTCTTAGTACTTTCAACGATGTAAATTTCAAGGAAATTTATTTCTAAGTTGAAAGTATGGAATTTTTCCCAATACAAATTTCGTAAACATAACCTATAATTTTTTTTCGTTTTTCTTTTGCTTCCAATGTCCCTTTATTAGGCCAACGCAGAATGAAATCTCGAATCGTAAATCTTAAGTTTTTACATAAGGGAAAAAAAAGGATAGAAATGTCTTTTGTCCTTTTCTCTCTCATGGAAAAGCTTAAGATTTACGATTAGAGATTTCATTCTGCTTATTCCTATATTCAGAGCAAGTAAATAATAAATACATATAATAAAAATTTGAATAAATTATAAATATATAATAAATAAAATATATAAATATCAATCTAATAAATTTGTTTTCAATATACTCTGTTGATCTATTTCTGTAATTATTAAAAAAAAAATCTGTTTTTCATTAGAATTTCGTGTTCAAGTTCGTTATTGTATATATTATCGTTAATTAAAAATTTTTCGATAAAAAAAAATTTTTAAATTACGGTCGTAAAGTCAAACATGAATTAATAAAAAGAAAAAATTCAATATAATTTTTAATTTAATTAATGTTTGATAAAAGAGAAATATATATATATAAATTAGTCTAATTAATAAATTTATTTAATTTTTTCTTTAAAACACAAGTTTGTTTTGACAGTATCAATATTTGTAAAATGTATTTAAAAAAAAAGTGTTTGTATACCTATATAGGTATATATATATAATAATGTAACGAGTATATCTAAGTTATTGACAGATATCGCTTGACTCGAACGGGAGTAGCTTCTCTTCGCAGCAATTTAAGCGTATAGCAAAAATCTATATTTACTGTCTGTGAACTATTTACAGCGCGAAGCATATCAGAGGAGTTTAGTAGCGGAGATTCACGGTATCGAGATAATGATGAACCCGTTCAACAAGGAGCACACAGTCGTGATCCTCGTGCACAGAAAGAGAAGGACGAAAAAGAAAGGGCAGACGAAGGTATATAAATTATCATTTTTTTTAAATCTTAACGTATTATATAGATATATATACATTGTTAATTTATTATTATATATTAATAATATATATATATCTATATAAATGCATTTTTATTTACGCGCTCTTGTTATCGCACCCCTGTCATTCATCTGGAAAATTTAAGAGAGAAAAAAGAAATTTTTACCTAGAAAATACATTCTACACAATATTATATTTATTACGTATATAATATATGAATTTTATATCAATTTTTTAAATTTGAATAATTTTACTTCTATTTTGAAGAATAATTAGCCTTCCATCAATTTAACAATTGAATTTTATATATTTAGATATATTTTTTGTAGAAAAAATTTTTATATAGGTCACAAATAAAGACTATTTTTATAGTTTTTTTTATTTATTTTTTTCTTTTTGTTTCTTATTATTATTATTATTATTATTATTTTTTGCAGAAAATTATGCACTGAATATAATAATTATATTTAATGCAAATACATTATTTGCTTCAAGTAAGTAAATATATGGGACGGTCCATGCGCCAAATCAATATATCGTCAACTTTGACCTCTTTGATTTGGCTCAAATTTTTTTACCATTTTGTGTACCCTCCAAAAAAGAGAGTTCATGATTTTTTTCAAATTTTTTCATTAAGGCCAGGTCCAAGTGAGGCAGCGCCATCTACATTGATACTAAAATTTTGGAAAATTTTCAACAACCTTTTCTTGAAAACAAGATGGTAAAATGCTTTTTCCTTTATGGATAATTGATTATTGGCAAGATATACATCAGCTAAAACTTTTTTTGAGTTAAAATAATAAAAAAAATTTCATGTCGATAAATTAAATATGAGCACTTTTTTCACAAAAACTGTAACAGTACTTTCTCAGAAATTACAATCAAAAATGCAATTTCCATTTGGAAAATTAATAAACGATAAAAAATACACGACCTAAGATTTACCAATCACGAAAATAACAAAAAAAAATTTTATTAAATATTTAACATATTGATACTGCTTTACTGATTGTGACAGCCCTTTGGTAGATTATGTATTTCAGGTGGTTAGCAACAGCGCCAATCTCCTCCTTTCGGCAAAACTGCGAAACGTCTGGTGACATATATAACCTGCCAAACGGCTGTCATAATGAGTAAAATATGTTATGTTAAAATACTTTTTTTTTGTGGTAAATCTTAGGTCGTGTATTTTTTAGCGTTTATTAATTTTCCAAATGGAAATTGCATTTTTGATTGTAATTTCTGAGAAAGTACTGTTACCGTTTTTGTGAAAAAAGTGCTCATATTTAATTTATCGACATGAAATTTTTTTTATTATTTTAACTCAAAAAAAGTTTTAGCTGGTGTATATCTTGCCAACAATCAATTATCCATAAAAGAGAAAGCATTTTACCTTCTTGTTTTCAAGAAAAGGCTGTTGAAAATTTTCCAAAATTTTAGTATCAATGTAGATGGCGCTGCCTCACTTGGATCTGACCACATCACTTTTCCACACGGGTTACTATATTGTTTGTAATTTAAAGGTTAAGATTTTGTTTTTAAAACTGTTTGTATACTTCGACTTTTTTCCAAAAAAACTACTTCCTCTTACAAAAATTTAAAGCCTAGTCCGATCGTAGGGAAACAATTTTTTCAAAAATTTTTAAAATTTTAGAAATTTGTTTTTTTTTAAATATTTCCGGTTTTGTTTTATACTACGTAATTTTATGTATTTTGATGCGCTAATTACGAAAATCATAGTCAAAATACCAAAAAATTTGATTTTTATGGTAAAAACCATAAAAAAAGTCCTAAAATTTATAGTTTTTATGGTTTTCACCATAAAAATTAATTTTTTCGGTATTGTCACTATGATGGTTGTAATCAGCGCCTTAAAATACATTTTTTATGTCTCATGCTTTTTTTAAACTTTTTCATATTTTACCCAAAAATTGAAAAAAAACCATAAATTTTAGAACTTTTTTATGGTTTTCATCATAGATATCAAATTTTCGGGTAAAATATGAAAAAATAAAAAAAAGCTAGAGACATAAAAAATGTATTTTAAGGCGCTGATTACAACCATCATAGTGACAATACCGAAAAAATTAATTTTTATGGTGAAAACCATAAAAACTATAAATTTTAGGACTTTTTTATGGTTTTTACCATAAAAATCAAATTTTTGGGTATTTTCACTATGATTTTCGTAATGAACGCATCAAAATACATGAAAGTACGTAGTAAAAAACAAAACCGGAGATATTTTAAAAAATTCAAAATTTCTAAAATTTAAAAAATATTTGAAAATATTGAAAAAATTGTTTCCCCACGATCGGACTACCTAGGCTTAAAATTTTTGTAAAAGGAAGTAGTATGTTGGAAAATTTTTTGAAAAAAATTTGAAGGATACAAACAGTTTTAAAAATAAGATTTTAACCTTTAAATTACTAACAATATAGTAAATTTTAATTTTATAATTTTTTGCATGAAATTTTTGAAATATTGAGTTAAAAACACACATTTCGAAAAAAAATTACTTTTAAAATTGATGCATTTTTAAGGAAGTTATGAGCATTCAAAAATAAAAAATAATTAAAATTCTCTCCAATTTTGAAAAATTCATATCTCGTAAGCGACTTGATGAAAAAATTTGAAAAAAATTATGAAGCTCTTTTTTGAAGGGTACAAAATGGTAAAAAAATTTGAGCCAAAACGAAGAGGTCAAAGTCGACGATATATTGGTTTGGCATGGACTGTCCCATATACAATGCCGCGTACAAAGTAAAAAAATACATAAGCAATAATACAAACATTGTTGTTTACAAATTTTCTAACACCTAATTCAATTTATTTAAGTAACTATGGGAATTGACCAGAAATTTTTGTGTCAAACTGAGAATTTTATATTAAAAATAAAAATTCATCTGTAATTTCACTTTTTTCGTATAAATATTGTTATTTTTTCTCGAAAATTCTTCTTTTATTTAGCGAATAAATAAATAAAATTTATTTACATTTAACAAATCTCAACGAAATTATCGATTTTTTTTTTTTTTGAATTCATAAAATTATTGACCAAATTTTATTTGGTTAAAATAAAAATTTTATATGCGCTGAATAAAACTTTATTTGTGCTAAATAAAATTTTTTATTTGAAACAAATAAAAAGTTATTAGGCACTGGGACAAATATATTTTTATTTGGTTCAAATAAATTTTATTTGTCTCAAATAAATGTAAATAAAATATTTCTCTGGGTGTATTGTCTGAAATTTTTTTTTTTTCTTTTTTTAAACCATTTTCCCATTAAAATTCATTTTCTTTTTGAATACATAAAGTTTTATTTTATTTATATATACTTTTATGTATACAAACTGGCACAAAAATTCTCTAGTTTTCTTTCAGTTTTTCATTTTTTGTATTTTCTAAAAAAAATTTATATTTTCTTCTAATTCTCTAAAATTCTCGAATTTATTTTTATCGAATTTTTCTTCAATTTCTCTTTTTTTTTTAATTCCTAAAATTCTCTGTTCATTTTGAAAATTTTCGATTTTTCTTTTCTGTATTTTCTAAATAATTTTTGTTTTCTTCTTTTAATGCCTAAAATTCTCTTATTCTTTTCAATTTCTTCGATTTTTTTCCATAATTTATATTAATAAAAAAAATTAATGAATATATTTTGTAAAGTTAGAAAAGTAAATTTATTTATATATTTTGGGTTTTTAAAATTTCATAATAACATTTCTTGATTTAGTTAAAACAAAACCGCGAATTTTGGTTCTGAAGAAAATAAGCAAATCGAATCGTTTTTACAAAATTTTAAATAGGAAATAAATTTTAATCATCTGTTTAAATAAATAATTTTTGTAAGTTTAAAATTTTTTTTTCTTGAAAATTGGTATTTGTTCTAGTACATATTATCAATAATAATATTTAAATTTTTTAAACGTCAATTATAAATATTTTTTTCTCGAAGTTCTGCATTTCCAAGTATGAACGTCTTTAAAAATACAATTTTCATTTTTAATAATATTAATTATTCTTTTTTTTCCAGAAATGATAAAAGTTTACGATGGAAATAATTCGTTCAGACGGAGAATATTTCGTGTGATTAGCGTGCCTCGACAAGCGACAACGGAGCAAATTCTTACATCTGCGCTTCGAGCGTTTCACATCAAAAAAGATCCGAGTATGATGTCTTTACTTTAATTCACATATTCAAAAAATTCATTAAATTTTGTTCTTAAATTAAATTTTTATATTTCAACTTTAAGTTATATATTACATTAAATATAATATAATTATATTACAATTTAATTAATATGTTTTACTATTTAATTAGGTTTTTATTGTTAATCAGATTTAACTGACGTATTTAATTGGATTTTATTGTTTATGCGAATTTCATTGTTCAATTTGTATTTCATTGTTAAATTACATATATTATATAGTAAGTTTACACTTTAATTGTTTATAATTACATTTTATGGAACAATTATATATTCGTTTTATTGATAAAATTACATTTTATTGTTTTGAAATTAAATTTTATTGTCATGTAAATGTTAATTATTTTATACTGATAAATTACATTTTATTGGACAATTATATACATTTTACTTTTGAAACTTTATACTTTTAATTGTGAAAATTTCATTTCATTGTTGAAATTATGTCTCAATGTTAATGTCACGTTTAATGCTAATTTGTCCTTGAATTTTCAGATCATTTTTACCTAACCGATCTGTACGCCACTGAAGAAGTTCCATTATCTGACCCTTCGCCACTTCAAAATTTAAATCGCAGAGAGGGCAAACGTCCGGCTGTCTTTCTACGATTTAAGTAAGCTTTTCTTATAATTTAAAACAAAAAAAAAAAAAAAATACATTTTATTTTACAAAATTTAAAAAAATGAGGTATTTTCTGCGAATAGAGTTTTTAAAAAATTTTTTAATTATTGAATTGGCTTAATACTTTGGTAAATAGTTGTTCTATATGGGAATAATAAATTCCTAAAATATTATTGAAAAGAAAATTATAGAAAGTAATGGAAGTTGAAATTTTAAACACTGTTAATTCAAATCCACATAATTATATAAAAAAAACGATATTAATTTGTAATTAGAGGTTTTTGAATCATTTTTCATATAATTCTCAATGTTAACATTTTTTTTTTAAATAAAAAAAAATTGTAACCCCATTTTTTTTAAAATTAACTCTTATTTTTCATTTCCAATTTACTTTACTTGTATAAAGAGTCGTAAAATTATTTTTCTTTTTTCTGTGTTAAAAAATTATTTTTTTGTGATTTTATGATGAAATTTTAGGGATAGCGACAGTGGCGAAGTGAGGGTCTATCCAGGGAAACTTCAAGTTTCTGAATCCTTTTGTATAGTTCCGGTCACTGAAACGACAACTATATCCGATCTCATTCGAGAGGCGCTTCTTCGTTTCGGCTTGCAGGATTTTATGTACGAGGATTATCGATGTAGTGAAGTTCTTCTCGATCGCGGAGGTTTGTATACATTTTAATATATTAAAAAAAAAAAGTGAATAGAAATTTCATTTTTTTTTTCTCATCGAAATTTTTTCCATACATTCTTTTTCTTATTAATAAAATATTATTTTTATTAAATTAAAAAGTAATACAATTTTTGTAAACAATATAGGCTTATTTTACTCATTGAAACTTCCTTTGCAATCGTAATTTTTTATAATAAAATAATAATAAAAATTAACCTTGGTTTACGGGTAACAATTTTTTTTATACATTTTTTCAAAACCTAAAATAATATTAAATAATATTTTTAAAAAAATAATTTTTAACAATTTTTTCCTATTTTTCGAAAATAGGAAACAAAATTAATTTTGTTTGGTTGAAATTTTTTTTTCTGCTTTCTAAAAAAAATTAAATAATTACATTTACTGCCCTTTTGTAGTGCAACTATATGAAAAAATATTTACACAAAGCGGCATATTTAAATATTTTTAAATGAAAATTTTACTCACTAAAAACTTTCGATGAATATAATAGCCCCTGGGATGGTATAATTACTTCAGTTGACGGTATAGTTTAAAATTTTTGTTTATTTTAAAAATTCGTTATTTCGTTAAGAAATATAAATTATACATACTGAAAATAAGATTTTTTTTGTTTGTTCATTTCAGTTACAGAACGGGTACTCTCGTGGGACGAAAAACCTTGGGAAATTGTGAAGATGCTGGGACAAGATTCAATTAGGCAAATGGAATTGATGAGATTTTATCTGCAATTAAAGCAGGACCCACACGGTCCTAATCTTGCTTTGTTTGTTGGTAACCTACCGCCAAATCTTTCTCAACGCAATTATGAAAATATGTTGACCGAATTCTTAGGCAAAGGTGTGTATAATGAAAAATTTTAACGAAACTTTTCAAGATTTTTCCATATTTTTTATTCAAAAAAAAAAAAAAAAAAAAAAAACAAAAAAAACAAAGAAATTTTTTTTTATTTTGAATTAATTAAATATAATTGAACTTATATTAAAATGAATAATTAAAGGAAATTGTATTTTTTTTTAATTTCATCTTCAATAATTTTATTTGTAATTTCTTACAAATTTACTAAAAAAAAAAAAAAAAAATTCTTACAGAAAACAAATTTTCATCAATCGGACCCATATATTACGAATACGGTTCGATGGTCATTATATACGAAGATTCGAATAAAGCGGTTAAGGCTCTCTATATGTTACGTGAATCGAAATACGAAGATAAACACCTTTTAGGTAAGTTAGAATTTGTCAAATTGAATTTTTTTAAGTTCTGTACATTTTTGTAATTTTACCTCATGTAAAAAGATAATATCTACCTATGTTACATTATAATAATAATAATAATAATAATAATAATAATAATTTTTTTTCATTTTAATATTTGATTTTTATTAAGAAAAAAAAACTGATTGTGGTACAAGAGTTCATTTCCAAATTTAAGAGATCTAAAATTTTTTTTCCAAAGTACAATATTTCGGGGCGCATGATTATTCCATAATGTGAATTATTTATAATTTTCATTTTATAGAATTTTATTAGATAGAATTTTACTTTATTCAAAATTATGTATTTCGAATTAATGTTTAATAGAATTTAAATTAACTAGAATTTATACTTAACAGAATTTCTATATAATTAAATTTTTATTTAACAAAATATTCTTTTAACATAATTTCCATTTAGCACACTTTTTATTCAAAAGAATTCTTCTTAACACGAATTTTTATTTATCAGAATTCTTATTAAACAGAATTTTGCCTGAATAAAAATTTTTTAATACCACAATTTTTATAAAAACCAAATTTTCATTAGTCCGAATTTTTATTAACACAAAATGTCATTTAATAGAAATTATAAAACTTAAAAATTTTCATTTATTCTACATTGCAAATGGTCGAATAATAATCAAACGGCAGAAATATTTCGGCGCCAATTTTAGAATTGACCAATCACAATTTTCTTGACAGATTCTCATTGGTTAATTTTAAAAAATGGCGCCGAAATATTTTTGCCGTTTGATTATTCGACCATTTGTAATGTAGAATAAATGAAAATTCTAAGTTTTATAATTTCTATTAAGGCCATGTGGAAAATACAGTAAATAAGTAGAACGGCCCAATTCCTTTAACCCTTTTTTATCATTCCTCAAAATTTCAACCCGAAATTTCTTCTCATTTCTGAACTACCAAAAAGTGTCTTTGTCTCACATGGCCTTAAATGACATTTTCTGTTAATAAAAATTCGGACAAATGAAAATTTGGTTTAATAAAAATTGTGGTATTTAAAAATTTGATTCAGGCAAACTTCTGTTCAATAAGAATTCTGATAAATAAAAATTCGTGTTAAGAAAAATTCTTTTAAATAAAAAGTGTGCTAAATGGAAATTATGTTGAAAGAATATTTTGTTAAATAAAAATTTGATTACATAGAAATTCTGTTAAGGCCAGGTCCAAGTGAGGCAGCGCCATCTACATTGAAACTAAAATTTTGGAAAATTTTTCAACAGCCTTTTCTTGAAAACAAGAAGGTAAAATGCTTTTTCCATTATGGAGAATTGATTATTGGCAAGATATACACCACCTAAAACTTTTTTTGAGTTAAAATAATAAAAAAAATTTCATGTCAATAAATTAAATATGAGCACTTTTTTCACAAAAACTGTAACAGTACTTTCTCAGAAATTACAATCAAAAATGCAATTTCCATTTGGAAAATTAATAAACGCTAAAAAATACACGACCTAAAATTTACCAATCACGAAAATAACAAAAAAAAAGTTTTTTAACATAACATATTTTACTCATTATGACAGCCGTTTGGCAGGTTATATATGTCACCAGACGTTTCGCGGTTTTGCCGAAAGGAGGAGATTGGCGCTGTTGCTAACCACCTGAAATACATAATCTACCAAAGGGCTGTCACAATCAGTAAAGCAGTATCAATATGTGTCCTGACGCGGTGAAAGGGACCTTATGATTAAATAAATCGATTTTTATTTTTTTATACCAATCGATAGTTTTTGAGTTGCTTTTTCATTTCCAACAATTAAAATTTGTCTCCTTCAAATACTTATTGTGTTATATAGCTTTAAACATAAGTACTTTTCCGCGTATTCTCGGGCGCCTCGTGGCTACTGCAAAACCACTACCACTGCTCACCACTACGACGCTACCCTCGTATATCGGTGAGCGTGTTTCCTTCGTGCATCTTCGGCTCTACCATTTCTTGTCTCTCCCCACTAGTTCTAAGCTCTGATGTATACATTGCGCTGGCCCCGGAAAATGGATTTATCTCATATTAAAGCCAGTAAAATTGCAACAAACAATTTATTAGATTTTCATTATTTTAATAATGTATAATAATAATAATAATTTATATTTTAAATTCAAGACATATAACTTATTTATACAGCAAAAGTAATGTTATTTTTACTGTTGTAAGAAAAGTAAAAATTGAAAATTTCTCTGTTGATAAAATAAATAATAAAAATTAATTTTATTTGATAACAACGATTTTCAGAGAATTAATAAATAATTATTAAAAAAATGTTTAAACATTGTCAAAAAGGGGTTTCGTAAATTTCTTCTCATCTTTAAAGGATAAAGTATTTCGAGTTGGCATTTGGAGGAATAATAGAGGAATATTATTTTTGCAATAATATTGTGAGGAAATTATTTTATTAAAGATTTAAAGTGGAGTAATTTGGGGTAAGTTAGTTCAGCAGCGGCCACTAGCTAGAATTGGCGCCACCTTCTGGGCCACTGACACATAGATTCAATGTCTGTCCCCACTTCTGTCAAAAATCCAACTTTTATAACCACAAAATTACTTTTAAAAATGGAGATGCTTCTTAATCAGCTCGCCCTCATCTAATTAATCCGACAAATCCGAACAAGATATTTCAAGTTATTTACGTATTATTTTGTCAATCAAAATTAATCGATTAACTTTAATAGAAAATGAATCCATTTGCCGGGCCCAGGGCAATGTTTACATCAGAGCTTAGAAAGAGTAGGGAGGTACAAGATATGGTAGAGCCGAAGATGCACGAAGGTAGCATGCTCACAGACATATGAGTGTAGCGTTGTAGTGGTGAGCAGTGGTGCTGATTTGCAGTTGTACGTTCCCACTACTCAAATGTCTATTTTCGTGCTACACTTCGAGCGCCTCTCCTGTAAAATTTGCTTTGGAACCGTAAGGTCCCTTTCACCGCGTCAGGACACATATGTTAAATATTTAATAAAATTTTTTTTTTGTTATTTTCGTGATTGGTAAATCTTAGGTCGTGTATTTTTTAGCGTTTATTAATTTTCCAAATGGAAATTGCATTTTTGTTTGTAATTTCTGAGAAAGTACTGTTACAGTTTTTGTGAAAAAAGTGCTCATATTTAATTTAAAGACATGAAATTTTTTTCATTATTTTAACTCAAAAAAAGTTTTAGCTGGCATATATCTTGCCAGTAATCAATTATCCATAAAGGAAAAAGCATTTTACCATCTTGTTTTCAAGAAAAGGCTGTTGAAAATTTTCCAAAATTTTAGTATCAATGTAGATGGCGCTGCCTCACTTGGACCTGGCCTTAAGTATAAATTCTAGTTAATTTAAATTCTATTAAACATTACTTCAAAAAACATAAATTTGAATAAAGTAAAATTCTATCTAATAAAATTCTATATAAAATGAAAATTATAAATAATTCACATTATGGAATAATCATGCGCCCCCAAAATTTCCAAAGAAAAAAAATTTTAAACTATTAAAGAAGTTAAGGAGGTTCTAGTGGAAATAGAATTAAAATTACTAATTTAATTAAACTTGGTCCACTATTAGATAAATGTTTGAAAATTATGTAGCTAAATTTTTGAGACCTGTAGGTTCTTGTGAAAAAAGTTATGATCGTTTTTGATTTTTAACAATTAATATTGAGTCTTATATGGGAATTGGGTACTTTTTTCATACATATATATTATTTTGAAAAAAATTTCCTTTGGAAAATTTTATCTATTACAATTAAAAAATTTCAATCTAATGAAAAAAATGAATGGTTTTTATTTTTTTTTTACTTTTTGCAGTAATGCTTTTACCCAGTATCGAGCCAAGAATGGTACCAAGCCATGTCCAGCCTTTACTAGTTTTTGTAAATGTAAAGTCGGGTGGTTGTCAAGGGCTTGACTTGATATCGAGTTTTCGCAAGCTTTTGAATCCCTATCAAGTGTTCGATTTGGATAACGGTGGCCCACTGCCTGGGTGAGTGAGAAATTTCATTATTTTTACCGCACAGTCATATCTTAAATTAGAGATTTCAATTTTCCATTTTATTCTTGAAATTGATTCTTCTGAAATATTCCTTTACGTAAGTTGAAAAAAAAAAAAAAATTAAAAATTTTATTTCAGCTTCAAAATATTGAATTATATTCAGTTTTAAAAGATCTAACACGTTTGTAACTTTATCATGCTAATAATAGCTTTAAATTAAGTAATAATAATAAGTTTTTACAAATAATTAACAAAAATCTCATAGTTATGATATTTTAAAAATAAACTTTAAAAACATCAGGGCTGATGAATATTAACGAAGCAGAACTACGCAACGTTTATGATAAATGATTTTTAAAGAAATAAGTTTTTAAAATGAAAAATTCTATAATTTTCTGCCTAAAAAATATTTCTTGTATAGTTTTTATTAATCAACAATATACGATGTATTCCTCGCCAAAGTGTAAGTCCATCTGCAATTGCATCTCCGATTTTTTTTTCTTTTAGTACTAATTGAGAGTAGCTTCCATGAATTTTTTCAAATTTTTTTAGCAAGACGTTTTCGAGTTATGGAATTTTGAAAATTGGAGAATTTTCATGAATTTTAATTTTTGAATGCTCATAACTTTCTTAAAAATGCATCAATTTTAAAAGTCTTTTTTTCAAAATGTGTGTTTTTAAACGTACTTTTCAACAAAAAAAATCGAATTTTTTTTTAAACGATGTTACTATCAAATTTTTGAGTTTTAATGATAAAAACTCATTTTTCTCATTTGACGTACTGATCGATTTTTTTCAAAATTTTTTCTAAAAAATTACTTCTTTTTACGAAACTTTTAAGCCTAGCCCGATAATGGGCAAACGATTTTTACAATATTTTCGGAATTTTTCAAAAATTTTTGAATTTTGAATTTTTTTTTTTAAATATTTTTGGTTTTTTTTTATACTACGTACTTTTATGTATTTTGATGCGTTGATTACGAAAATCATAGTGACAATATCCAAAAATGTATTATTTTTTTTAAACAAATTAGAAAAAAATTCTTTGCTTTTAGAATTCTATAAAATAGTTGAAATTTGATTTAAAATGTTTATGGGAATTTTTGGGGTAATTTACAAAAATATATATAGCGCGAACGACAATTAAAAATTTTTATTTCGGTAATTTACGGAAATTTTCGAGGTAATTTATGGAAATTTATACGGTAATTTATAGAAATTTATTTGGTAATTTATAGTAAACTTACCGGAGCTATGATAGTTTGATGATAGTTTAAATCTTGAAAAATGTATAAAAAAAGGATAAATCAATTAGAAAATTGATTACTTCCTTCATGGATCAACTTAAGGAATACAACTTTTGCTGTTACTGAAGTAGAACTATATTAACATTTGACTTTTATTTAAATAATACAATGTTTAATAATAAAACGCAGAATAACACACAAAAGTGCAGTCAAGTATAAATAGCAAAAAAAAAAAAAAATATATTTTTTTGATCAAACGTTTTTTTTTATTCAATTCCACTACAATATACAATACTAAAATAGCAACAGAAATTGTATTTATTAGTGCACATTGCTAAGGGTTAGTCCACTGACTTTCGTCTAATAGTGGTTGCGACCAAATTTTAAAAAAATTTAGTTTTAATATATGTGAAATTCGATGATTCCCTGAGTTCATTAACCATAATATTATGGTAAAAATTTTATTCCCTTTAAAAATATTAAATATCAAAAGTAGGAGGTTCACAATGTGATTTTGTAACCTTAAATTTTTCAATTTTTTTAAAAACACTATTATTAAAAAACTATTAAAAATTAGATGTTGGAACTCACCAAAAACATAAATCACTTTATTCTGCACAGAAGAACGAAAGAATTATTGCAAAAATTTATTATTTTTGGATGATATACGATTTTAAAAAAAATTTTATTTAAATATTCTCAAGATTTTTATTTACTTATAACTTTTTTGTCGGTGCTCCGAAAAAATTGAGGTTTTGCACAAAGATTTTTTAAAATATTCTTTACCTTCTATTAAAATCTTACTAAGGTGTTTTGCTTCGTTTTGGAGATATTAATTTTCAAAATTTTTTATTTAAAAAGGTTAATTAAAAGACTTGAAGTTAACTGACCAATTTCAAATCGCTACATTTTAATATATTTTTATAAAAAATGGAGCAGTTTGAATTTGGTTAGTTAACTTCAAGTCTTTTAATTAACCTTTTTAAATAAAAAATTTTGAAAATTAATATCTCCAAAACGAAGCAAAATACCTTCGTAAGATTTTAATAGAAGGTAAAGAATATTTTAACCTTTAAATTCATAGTTTAAGGTAGATTTTTTAAAGTGAATAAAAATAAAAAATAGCTCGTTCTCCATCACCAAATTTTGATAAGATGAATAAAGAAGATTTAACTTAAATTTTAAAACCAAAATGGGATTTTTTCATTAATCGCCTGCGAAGATATAAGTGTTAAAAATCAGAAAAAATCCTGAAAAATTCAACATTCAAGGTAAAATTTCACATATTTCTATATTATAAAAATAAAAAGCCAACATATCATGTGAAAGTACTTGGAAAGTACTTATGGTTAGGTAGGAATGAATTTTATAATATTTATATAAACTTTCTTGGAAAATATAAATAAAATGTGACAAATTTTGACATTTTACAGGTAAGTTTGAATATTAATTTTCACGTAGTATTTTGACCTTTTTTACACAATTATCAATTAACATTGGTAAATTAGACTATTTTCAACAAATATCAATGAAAAAAAATTTAATAACTAAATTATTTCTGTTCTTTTTTATAAAATTTCCAAAGTTGTCAAACTAACCTATTTTCCGTGCAACTCAACTTAAAAACTAAATTTCAACGTAAATAAAAAAAATTTCATAAAATAATTGTCAAAAATGAATTGTACGGATATTAAAAGTCATTAATACAAAATACCAAATTTTTCTAAAAATAGGCTGCAACGACTATAGGTAAAATAAAATGGAATGACGCTAGATTTTTTTAAAATTTGGTCGCAACCACTATTAGACGAAAGTCAGTGGACTAACCCCTAAAAATATTAAGTTTTTTGTTTAAACATCCTGTGGGGACAGGTGAAATTTTGACGTTTTCAGCCTTAAAAACCACCTTTCACGAAAAATTATAATGTTTAATATACAAAAGTAACTATTGGTTTTTGTTTGTAATCACAGAAATGACCTTTTTACATTGGAATCGAAATATTATGTGAACATTATTTGTGATTTTGCCTTTCACAACATGAAAAAAATCAAGTTGTGCGCTACGCGGAGAATCACCCATATATAAAAAAAAAATATTTTTTTAGGTAAATAATTTTATAATTTTCCATGATAAATTAAAATTGATTTATAATCGTTAATCATAAACGTTACGTACTTCAGTATCGTGAAAATTATTCTTTAAAAAAAAAAATACAGAAATTTTTTTTCGATTTCTTTACTTTAGATTGTACGTGTTTCGCCATATAAAATATTACAAGATCCTGGTTTGCGGAGGAGATGGAACAATAGGCTGGGTGTTACAGTGTTTGGATAATGTTGGTCAGGATAGTGAATGTTCATCTCCTGCGTGTGCAATAGTTCCTCTAGGTACGGGAAACGACCTCGCCCGCGTTTTAAGGTGGGGTTCCGGTTACACTGGTGCTGAAGATCCCCTTAATTTATTAAAAGACGTGATCGAAGCAGAGGAAATAAGATTGGACAGGTGGACCGTTGTTTTTCATCCCGAAGAAAAAGAAGACGCTGCAGGTTTGTACAAATTGAAGAGAAAAAAAAAATTGCAATTAAAAAAAAAAAAGCTTAAAAAAATATGTAAATTTAATTTTTGAAATTAGTGGCAGGTTCGACAAGTGAAGACAACTCGCAAATTCTTGTGATGAACAATTACTTTGGAATTGGTATCGATGCGGATCTTTGTTTAGATTTTCATAATGCAAGGGAGGAAAATCCAAATAAATTCAACAGTAGATTGCACAATAAGGGAGTTTATGTGAAAATGGGTTTGAGAAAAATGGTCGGACGAAAGCCATGCAAGGATCTTCACAAGGAAATTCGATTAGAGGTCGATGGAAAATTGGTGGAATTGCCTCAAGTCGAAGGGATTATTATTCTTAATATTTTAAGGTGATAGATTTAGAAATCTATTTTCAAATTTATATATAAAATAACTTAATATTTCATTAAGATTATTATTGAAATTTTTAAAGTTAGAATGTATAAAATAATTTTATTAACTATATTGGATATATGTGTCCTGACGCGGTGAAAGGGACCTTACGGTTCCAAAGCAAATTTTACAGGAGAGGCGCTCGAAGTGTAGCACGAAAATAGACATTTGAGTAGTGGGAACGTACAACTGCAAATCAGCACCACTGCTCACCACTACAACGCTACACTCATATGTCTGTGAGCATGCTACCTTCGTGCATCTTCGGCTCTACCATATCTTGTACCTCCCTACTCTTTCTAAGCTCTGATGTAAACATTGCCCTGGGCCCGGCAAATGGATTCATTTTCTATTAAAGTTAATCGATTAATTTTGATTGACAAAATAATACGTAAATAACTTGAAATATCTTGTTCGGATTTGTCGGATTAATTAGATGAGGGCGAGCTGATTAAGAAGCATCTCCATTTTTAAAAGTAATTTTGTGGTTATAAAAGTTGGATTTTTGACAGAAGTGGGGACAGACATTGAATCTATGTGTCAGTGGCCCAGAAGGTGGCGCCAATTCTAGCTAGTGGCCGCTGCTGAACTAACTTACCCCAAATTACTCCACTTTAAATCTTTAATAAAATAATTTCCTCACAATATTATTGCAAAAATAATATTCCTCTATTATTCCTCCAAATGCCAACTCGAAATACTTTATCCTTTAAAGATGAGAAGAAATTTACGAAACCCCTTTTTGACAATGTTTAAACATTTTTTTAATAATTATTTATTAATTCTCTGAAAATCGTTGTTATCAAATAAAATTAATTTTTATTATTTATTTTATCAACAGAGAAATTTTCAATTTTTACTTTTCTTACAACAGTAAAAATAACATTACTTTTGCTGTATAAATAAGTTATATGTCTTGAATTTAAAATATAAATTATTATTATTATTATACATTATTAAAATAATGAAAATCTAATAAATTGTTTGTTGCAATTTTACTGGCTTTAATATGAGATAAATCCATTTTCCGGGGCCAGCGCAATGTATACATCAGAGCTTAGAACTAGTGGGGAGAGACAAGAAATGGTAGAGCCGAAGATGCACGAAGGAAACACGCTCACCGATATACGAGGGTAGCGTCGTAGTGGTGAGCAGTGGTAGTGGTTTTGCAGTAGCCACGAGGCGCCCGAGAATACGCGGAAAAGTACTTATGTTTAAAGCTATATAACACAATAAGTATTTGAAGGAGACAAATTTTAATTGTTGGAAATGAAAAAGCAACTCAAAAACTATCGATTGGTATAAAAAAATAAAAATCGATTTATTTAATCATAAGGTCCCTTTCACCGCGTCAGGACACATATTTATAAATTGTATATATATATATATATATATATATATATATATATGGTGATGTAACAATTTTTCATTTTGAAAATGTTATAATTAACTATGAGGAAATGTTGGTAGTTGGGGCTCCGGTGCGAATCCTTGGGGACCTGACAAGGAAGATCAGTTCAACAAGCCGAATCACTGGGACGGGATGCTGGAGGTTGTTGGGGTCACGGGAGTTGTTCATCTAGGTCAAATTCAATCTGGCCTTCGCACTGCAATGAGGATAGCTCAAGTATGTTTTCAATTTTATACATATTTTATTTATTTACTTTTTTTTGCTTTTCACGCACTTTTTTTCTATTTACTGTTTACTATTTTTCATCAAATGATTATTATTTTATTTATGTTTTAATTATTATAAGTTCAGTTTTGAAATATTTAACTTTTTTTTCTTATTAAATTACAGCACCAATTTAAAATGCGATCATTGTTTAGGGTTGCCACGTTACCTTGAAGAGTCAGGGAATTTTATAAATTTGAAAAATATTCTGCAATAGTTAGGAAATATATCTTCAAATTCTGCAAAATAATGAATTTTTAATACATTATTCTATGTTAAAAGTTTTATGATTGTCTTGATACTTTGCTAAATTGTCTTATTTGAATGCAACAACTTTCTAAAATATTAACTAAAAAAAAAAAATTATAGAAAGTATCTTTAACACAAATTAAAAAATTTCAATTTGCAAACAGAAATTTTATGAAGGATTTTTCATGTACTTTTCAATAACAAAAAAAATTTTAATCGACCCTTTTATCAAAATCCTTATTTTTCAGTTTTAACTCGCAATTTGGAAATTTTTTTTTTCATTCTTTCTATTTTAATTAAAAAGCGGAGAATTTTTCCAATGAAATGTATAAAAATGAACTTGGGATAAAAAAAAAATTTTTTCCCTGATTTTTAATCCTAGACAGCACAACATAGCTGGCTCATACGTAGAAACACATCTGGGGTAGAAAACTACCCCAAAATTTGTTTTATTGCTACACGGAGAGAAGGGCGTAGTAGATCTTACTACTATCTCAGTTAAATCTACTAAACAGTGTCGTTCATTTTGGACTGACTAAACATTCAGTTGAATGAACGATACTGTTTAGTAAAAAAATTTACACGATTATCGATAGAAAAAAATTTACCGACAGAAACGAAATGTAGAAATTTGATTGGATGTCCGCAATCTGGTTAATTGTGAACAACCAATCAGATTTGTGCATTTTTATTCTGTCGGTAAATTTTTTTGTGTGACAGAACTATAGTAGTCCCTCTGACTACGCTGTTTAGTAGAATCTGGACTAAACGTGTTTAGTAGAATAGACTAAATCTCTTCTCTCCGTGTAGAATGTTCATATTTAACGTATAATAACTTTATTATCAATTATTTTCTTCCTTTTTTATGAGACAGAAGATAGCGTTTTTTTTTTTTAATATGATCAAAAATATGGCCAAAAAATACAAAATCTGCAAAAAATGCCAAAATTTGAATTTTTCTGCGGGTAGTTTTCTACCGCAGATGTGCTTTCTAGGGTTAAATTTTCTCCAAAATCTATTGTTATTCCACTTTTTTATTTAGATACACAGCCTTTTGAAAAAAAAACCTCAGCTTTTTAGTGAAAATTAAAAAAAGGCCTTAATTCGTCAAACTTAAAAACAGGAGTTAATTTTGATAAAAATGAGTAAGGGCCAATTTCACCAATTCCGGTTAAAAGTAAATCAGCGATTAAATCCCTAACCGACCAATCATGAGCGGTTAAATTGACTTTAATCGATGATTAACTTTTAACCGGAGTTGGTGAAACTGGCCCTTAAATTAGTAAAATAATAATTATGTGTGACACTCCACGAGAGAAGGGACCTTATACATCAAAAAAATTTTTAGGTTATGTTTGTGATTTTTTGAAGTGAAAATACTTACATGTGAATCAACTCTTAATACAAAACATTTATGTTTAAGCCTCCATGACATTAAAAAAATTTAATAAAAACTAATTTTCATTTTATCTAATTAAAAAGAAACTTTTTATCAAATAAAACCATCACTAAACATAACCTAAAATTCATTTATTTAATTTTCTTTTAACAAAATATTTATTTTTGTTATTCTAAGAAATAACTTTTCTTGTCCTGAAAAATCAGGAAAAGTCAGGAAATTTTAGTATAACAAAAGCTTGGAAACCCTGATTGTTATATCCAATTTTGAAATATGGGTCACTCCATAAGAAATTTTAATTCAAGATTTTTTTTGCCCGAAACATTTTTTTTACCGAAATCAATATAAAAAATAAGAAAATACACGTATTTCTTTATTTTTTTATTTTCATAAAAATGAAGGAAGTTATTATTTTTTTAAATTTAACGTAATCAACTCTCTAAATCTGAATTAGTAAAAATGTTTACTAATTTAAATTAGTGACTCACTTTTTGCTTCTGAATTAGTAGAATTTTACTCATTATTAGTAACTTTTAATAACAATTAGTAAAATTTAACTAATTCTAAAGCAAAAAGTGAGTCACTAATTCAAATTAGTAAACATTTTTACTAATTCAGATTTAGAGAGAAAGTCAGTGTATTTTTGAAACATTTTTTTATTTATTCTACTAATGAATAAAAAATTATGCTGTATATGAAATTTGTTCACTTTTTCTCAAATTTTTCAAATATGTGCTCAAAAATAACGTACCTATAACAGAAGCATTAAAAAAGTTAAAATTAAATTTAAAAAGTGAGTTTTCTCAAAGATGGACACTTTCGATTTTTAATTTTTTTTTTTTCATTGCAATCTCTGATGACTGAAGAATTTTTTCCCCTATCTGCAAAACTGGTACTTTTAGTTTTTAAATTACTATTTTTAGTTTTCTTAGTACGGCTCACAAAATTTAATCACTTTTTAAATTTAATTTCAATTTTTTTGTTGCTTCCGTTATAGGTACTTCATTTTTGAGCACATATTTGAAAAAATTTGAGAAAAAAGTGAACAAAAATTTCATATACAGCATAATTTTTTATTCATATTAGTACAATAGATAAAAAAAATGTTTTAAAAATACACTGCCTTTGATGACATTAAATTTTAAAAAATCATAACTATTTCTTCATTTTTATCAAATGAAAAAATTAAAAAAATACGTATTTTCTTATTTTTCACATAGATTTTGAAAACAAAATGTTTTGGGCAAAAAAAATTTTAAATTAAAATTTCCCGTGGAATGTCCCATATAGTTTCAATATTGTTTTACACTGAAAAAAAATCCTGGTTAGGCTATATTTAACATTACTTTCTAGTTATGTTAACCAGAATTCTAGTTGAATTAACTAGAATTCTGGTTTACCTAACCAGAATCAAAATGTTAAATATACCCTAACCAGAATTCTGGTTATTCTAACTAGAATTTTTTTTCAGTGTAGTTTTATATAGAAAAAAATTTTTTTTTATGTGTTATTTTAGTAAAATTAATAATTGTATTTTGACTTTGCAAAAAATATTTGTAGTTATAAACTTTACATTATATATTTATGAAAAAAGAAGAAAATAATAAGTGTACAGAATGAAATTAATACCTCTCATTATAATTTAGCAGCTATAAACTTATGGTTGAAAATTACATGTTTGAACTGTTATAATAAATGGTATTGATATGCGTACGAAGTATTGGATCGATTTCACTGCAATATAATCGTATAAACAAAAGGAAATATTAAATTGATAAAAATGAAAATATGTTGAAAAGAAACGAATATTTGTTTCCATGTATTAAAATTTCAAAATTATTAAATTTAAATTATCAAAATGCAGGGTGGTCACATAAAGATTCATCTGCACACGGACACTCCTGTACAAGTGGACGGTGAACCTTGGGTCCAGAGTCCTGGAGATGTTGTGGTCTTAAAATCCGCATTGAAGGTAAAAAAAACGTTACAATTTAAACCCCATATATTCCACAGAAATGCAAAATAGCCCGGACATGACAATGTTTCCTTTCTTTGTTTCTTACCTTCTCTTTCTCTCTCTCTCTCTCTATAATATATGTATTTATTAAAATTCTTTACTTCATAGTATATCTTTGCACTTCTGAATCCTATATATATATATATGGGTAAATCCACGAAACTTTTAACTTTCAAGAAAAAAAAATTTTTTTCTTTAATTTGCAGGCCCATTGATGTCACTTTGTATACACGTTTAAGTACATTTTAGCACTACAAATTCATATGCGTGATTCATTTTTAGCTCACACTGTCAATGTTTAACTCTTTAAACTCTTTAATGTTAATAAATTACATATAAAATTGAAAAATTCTACTATTTTTATTTTTGATATCGGAGTGGTTTTCGCAGTATTTCCGTCCTCTGAACACGATTCTGGCACCCAAATTTGCTTAGCATATCAGAATTTTGAGAAAAGAGGGGCTAAATACTCCAAAAAAGTGTTTTCAGCATATTCTTAACTTAATAAAATTTGTTTCACTCAAAATTCTTAAACGGCGTTTTTGTGTTCAAATATATGTATGAAAATGTTTCGATCACACCATAGATTGACCTGTTTAAAGCAAAAATGCAGTTGTGCCTTTCAAAAATGTATAAATTTAAATGAAATCACGATTTTTATTATCATCTTTAAATTATTGCCACAGAAATACAATTAGAGGCACATCATTGAAAAAGATCTTAAAATTTTTGTTTTTTCATCACCTTTTAAGAAATGCATTGAATTTTTATTTTTATCCAACGTCGTAATAGATATTTTCATAAGAAGACGTTCAATTGAATTTCTTTTAAAAAGTGCTATCACTCAATCAAACCTTCGTATTTTTAGTTTTAGTGGTGGCACACTAATGGGATAGTGAAAATTTTTTGACAAAATATGTCTGTTAGATATTTCCATATAGTAGCTGAAGTGATATTTTACACGCCGCAAAAATAAAAACGTTAAGAATTTAGAAACTTTTTCAAGAAATTTAAAATGAAATTTAAGCATTTTTTCACATTTTAACTTATAAAACTAATTGTCAAATAAATATTGTGTTCTAATACTGTACATAAATATTCCTTTCAGTGTTGGGTAAGTTACTTTCTTTTAAGTAACTCGTTACATTTAAGTTACTTAATGAAAAAAAGTAACTAGTTACCGTTACAGTTACTTTTATAAAGAAATAACTCGTTACAGTTACAATTACTTATAAAGTAACTTAAGTTACATTTCAAGTTACTGAAAAATTATTTTAAAATTTGTCTTATCAAAATTCAATTTTTTTTATCAAATGGGAATCAAATTAAAATGTGAAATATAATTGTAATACATGTATTTATTCAAGTTCTTCACATAGATTTGCATTTATTTTAATAAAAGCATCATCTATTCTTTCCCCTAAAGTTTTAAAATTTCTTGGTAATCCAAGTAACACTAGGTCTTTAAAAGATGATTTTTCTACAACACTTCTATTACATAATCCATAATAATTTTTTTATCCAATATTTTTTGAGTAACTATCTTTGAATCGGAAGTCCAGTTTTCCAAAAGAGTTTGCTTCTTATTTTGACTGTGATGAAGAATCTGAGAATTGTTCTTCGAATTTTTTCTTTTTTTTTTCTTTCACTATAGCTGCTTCTAATTCTGTAACGCATCCATGTTTAACCTATTCAAGTATTTATTTATAAAAATTTTAAAAATATTATCATTATTAGAAAATTAGTTTTTATAATCATGGATTTTGTTTGTCATTTTAAGAATTAATTTACAAATCAATTAATAAGGTACAATTTCGACACGGGGTTGCTAAAAATTATTTTTATAAACTCTTAAATAAAAGTCTATATAAAACTACTGAATACAAATAAATTAATTAATTAAAATCTTATTTTTAAAAATCTTGTACACTGGTTTAAATTATGCAGGTAAATCCCCTATATTGCAACAGTAAACCAAAAGAATACCATGGAATACGAGCACATGAAAAACAGAATGTAAACACTCAGTACAATGCGTAGCATGCGAGCGCAGAGGCCATGTTCTTTTGCTATCACTTTGCGCGCTTTTTTTGAAATACGAAATTATTAAGTTTTTAAAGCAATAAAAAAGTGCAAAGAAAGTAACGAAATAACTTAAAATTAAAAGTTACTATTAAAATAGTAACTAAGTTACATTACAAGTTACTTTTAAAAAAAGTAACTTAGTTACGTTATAAGTTACAAGTAAAGTAACTTTTTCAGTAACTTAGTTACTAATAACTAGTTACTACCCAACACTGGTTCCTTTGTAATATATAATTTAGTAAAAAAAAATTATATCCAAAATTTTAATTAAAAATAATTTAGATTTTTAAGTGTTCGATTCGAGAATCATAAAAGTTAAAAATTTCGTGGATTTGCCCATATATATTCTTGTTTATTTCTTTGCTCCATTCCACCCTCTGACCGAATCGCACCCCCCTAATAATTGTCAACCGGTCGTTCTGTAATATTGTGTGTCGAATAATGGGGTCATTGTCTTTTTTGTGGCACGTTAAACTTTCAACAAAAGCATCTGTATGTTTATAAACTATAGTCGGTAGTTGTTTTTTTTTTTAATTTCTTAACAAAAAACAAAAAAAAAAAACTTGATAAAGCTCTGCTCGAAAGCAAAGCTGATGATGTCCGTTCAGCGCATGCAATCCTCCCCAAATCGCACTCTACTAATGTCTCCTTGTTCCTTTGTTCACTTCAGGCAACCATGTTGAAGAAAAATAAGATCAAGCGTCGGAATACCGAACCGTCGATTCTACCTGCTAATGGGGAGGGGGGCAAGAGCACGGACGAGTAAATCAACAATTCTGCAGCTTGCAACTAGTCAGATTATAAATAATTTTAAAAAGAAAAAAAAAAAGAACGAAAAAAAAACACATTTGTTCCTTAATAGGTACGCGATCTTTGCCTAGACTCCTCGACATGCTTGAACGCTTAATATTTATCAAGTGGCTGAGGAGTTTCGGAATGATCATATACTGATTAAGGGTGTGGACCTCCTTTGCGGGGTCCAATCCGGTCAAATCCTCTATGCGCATGTGTCATCTTTCTTCTCTGTTTATCCTTTAACATTATATTATTCCTTTCATTCAACCTTCGGTCAAGTGCATTAATTTAAAGCTTCTTTGTTATACATTTTTCAATTGTAGCAAATAGGATGGTCCAATGTTCTATTTTTTTTTTTTAAGGAAATAATATTTGTGACGAGTTCTGAAGAAAGGAACCTAACCAAACGAATTTTAGGTTATATATTTTCACTTCAAAACATAACCTATAATATTTTGCTTCTAAAGTCTCTCTTTTTTTAGAGCGCGTCACATATATAACAACTAGAGATGAGAATTTTATTTATAATTATATAAATAATTTCTTAAAAATAACATTAGTTTAGATTCAAATTGTATTGAGAGTTGAACGATATTTGAAATCATTTTCATTTCTTTCAAATTAATCTCGTATTGGGTATTGATGAAAAATTGTCATTGTCTTTGACAGTTAAAACCTTGAAAGTTTTTTCATTAGAACTATTTTAAACAGTATGAAGGCTCTAACATAACCTCAAAATTGAAAAATGGTTTTTAAAGCAAACAAAAATATAATAATAAAAATTAATTTCAAACAATTTTCGAAGATTTAGTTATTTATCTTACTTTTCGGAAAAAATTATATTTAGTTAAAAGCTTTTCTTAAACAATTATTTTTTAACATTTTGACATATTTTCTTTTCTTTTAGAAGTAAAAATATTAAAAAATAATTATTTAACAAAAGATTTTAATTTAACATAATTTATTCCAAAAAGTGTATAACTACACGCAGAGAAATGATTTATTTGAACCAAATAAAATATATTTGAGTTAAATAAACGTATATTTGTCTCAGAGCCTACTAACTTATTTATTTGGCGTAAATAAAAGTTTTATTTGTCAGAAATAAATTTTTCTTTGCTTCAAATAAATTTTTTATTTCAATGAAATAAAATATATTTGCAACAAATAAATGAGTTAGTAGGCTCGGAGACAAATATACCTTTTCTCTGAGTGTAGATTTCATATTTTGATAGGGTTTAAAAATTTCTAAAAAATTCACAAAATTTTCAAAAATCATAAATTCGAGTTAATAACTTTGTAAAAATTTAAAAAAATAATTTGATAGAAAGTATGATATATCTAACTTACTAAATCTTGTAAAATTGTTTTTTGAATTGTTCTTTATGCCAGAGAAAAAGAGTATTAAAAAATTGAATAAAAAAAATTTTTTTTTTTATAATCGTCGACTCTATAAGTGATAAATGAAAAAAGAAAAATTTTTGAAAAATTTTATAAATGACTTGGACCATTCTAATAGTGCATCCTTTATAACTCCGACTGTAGAAAATTTCTAGCAATCTTTTAATCGTTTCTTTTCTGTATTGTTGCCTATATAATTATTATCCAGCATATATATATATATATTTGTATATAATATATATGTGTCATTCCACAAGAAATTTACTCCTGTTGAGAGTAATCTCTCTAATTCAATTGAAACTTGATATATTTATATATTTGTTAAATTCAAAAAAAAAAAAAAATTAACTTTTTGAATAAAAATAATTTATTTACGAGGTACAATTTTTCAAAAAAAAATTTAATTAACACATCTTTTTAAACCATTAAAGATAAACAAAATTGATAATTTTTTTGCATTCAACATAGAGACTCTTGAAATAAATTTCTATCATCTCGTTTTTCGAAATTGAATACATAAAACAAAACTTGTTTACAATCTTATTTCTAATGATTTAAAAGATTGATTTAAACAAGTTTTGTTGAATTTTGTTGTAATTCGTTCTTTAAAAAAATGGTTTTTATTCAAAAATTTGATATTATTCTGTAACTGAAATAATTCTATGAAAACCATCCCATGGAAAATTACACAAGGAATTCCATAATATATGGAATATTTTTATCATAGAAAATAACAATTTTGAATTAAAAATTAAAACTGTCAAAAAATTCGTTTTTTTTAATTGTTAATTTTTAAAAAGACAATAGTTTCGTTAAAAAGTTTTGAAAAACTATCAACATTTTTTTTTAGAATATATCAGAATTTATATAACAATTTTAAACTAAAATTATTCAAAAATAAATGATTTGATTTTTGAAACGTCACTAACTGTAATAATTTATAGTAAAATTTCTCAAATAAATCAATCGATTCGTATTTAAATATTCGATTAACTGGTAATGATAGTTTCGATATTTCGATTATCGATATATTGTTTCGATTATCGATTCTCTCGATTATCAATGATAGTTTCGATATTTCGATTATCGATATATTGTTTCGATTATCGATATATCGATTCTCTCGATTATCGATATATTGTTTCGATTATCGATATATCGATTCTCTCGATTATCGATATATTGTTTCGATTATCGATTCTCTCGATTATCAATGATAGTTTCGATATTTCGATTATCGATATATTGTTTCGATTATCGATATATCAATTCTCTCGATTATCGATATATTGTTTCGATTATCGATATATCGATTCTCTCGATTATCGATATATTGTTTCGATTATCGATTCTCTCGATTATCAATGATAGTTTCGATATTTCGATTATCGATATATTGTTTCGATTATCGATATATCAATTCTCTCGATTATCGATATATTGTTTCGATTATCGATATATCGATTCTCTCGATTATCGATATATTGTTTCGATTATCGATTCTCTCGATTATCAATGATAGTTTCGATATTTCGATTATCGATATATCGATTCTCTCGATTATCAATAATCGATATATTGTTTCGATTATCGATTCTCTCGATTATCAATGATAGTTTCGATATTTCGATTATCGATATATTGTTTCGATTATCGATATATCGATTCTCTCGATTATCGATATATTGTTTCGATTATCGATATATCGATTCTCTCGATTATCGATATATTGTTTCGATTATCGATATATCGATTCTCTCGATTATCGATATATTGTTTCGATTATCAATAATCGATATATTGTCTCAATTATCGATGTTTTCTATTAACGATATGTTGATGGTCGCGATTATCGATATATCGATTTTTTTTATAATCGATATATCGATTGTTTCGATATTATATTATACCAAGTTTCAATTATAATTTGTTAATGATTACTTTGAAAAATGGTAAATTTCTTTTTGAATCGCACATATATTTATATGTATATAAAAAAATTTGTCATTTCTGAGTTCTGGTGTTGCGAGCGAGATGTACGAATTTTTTTTTAATTTTTTGTCGCTGACTTATTTGTAAAAAAAAAACATAATTCCTCTGTACGCTCCCATGATCCATTCCCTTCCTAGGCGACGATGCTGAAGAAGCGGAAGAGTAAAGTCAAGAGGCGGAATACTGAGTCGGGAATGCAGTCATCACTTCAGCCAGCACCATCCAACGATCCCGATTCCGAAGTCTTCTGAATCATGCGCCATTTTCTCTCCAACCCTTCACAAAATGGATCATATGTCATCATATATATTGAAAACCGCAAAAAAACAATTAAAAAAAAAAAAAAGCGCTATCGTTTTCTTCAACGCTCGCAAGAAATCTACGAACTCGTCGATGACTTTTTAATCGGCCTCGCAAGTGTCGATTGATAAATTTTGTGAACTTACTCTTTAAGTACTTAAATATTATTACAACGCAGCGATGTTATAACTTATTATACATAATTATTATATACACTCGAAACACGAAGCCGAAGGAATTCAAACAAGACGAGAATTGATAATCGTGCGCCTTTTTCGTTTCATTTGAATTCGTATAATATATTATATATATATATATATATATCGTTAGATAAATGAAATAGATCAAAATGTTCATCATTTTACAAGCACCTGTGAATAGTGAAGCGAGCGATATTATTTTTTTTCTTTTTTTCTTAAACTCTCCAAAATTTATTATAATTATTATTATAGACATCGACGAATTAATTTAAAAAAAAAAAAAAACCAGACTCAGTATTGAGATGTGGAATTTTGTTCACTTGCATTTTCCGTTTCTAGTTTGTTACTTCGGAGAAAGAAGAGAAGCGAACAAAGTAAACTGTAATGTATATTACGTTTCGTATGGTATTTTACCAATTTACAGGATTATCATGATACGATTTGCGCGTATCAAGATGTAAAACATAAAAAAAAAAAACAAAAAAACAAAAAAAAAAAATAATAATGAAAAGTCGATTGTTATTAATACATTATTATATGAAATATTTATTATTAAATATATATTAATATATTATATATATATTTAAATAATATTGTATTAGTATTACAGTTTTACAATCTTTTTTTTTCTCTCTTTTTGTTCTTTTTTTAAAAAACGATCGTTGTCGAATCTGACTGCCGGGCAGTCTGGAAACTTGAAAAAAAAAGTACACCAGTCGCAGTCAGAATTTCCTAGGAAAGAATAATAATACTAATAATAATAATAATAATTAATAACGAAAAGAAAATTAATTAATTAAATTAATAAAAAAAAAATAAATAAATAAATAAAAGCGATTAATGTAATTACGAGTATAGGGGTCGAAGTCGCTGTTGCCGAATTGTTTCTCGATCACAACGATTAATTAGGTGACGTGGAAACTTCTTGGGGACGCGACACCCTGACATCTGGCTCTGATGAATTTCAAAACCGCACACGGTGAAATTCCTCCGAGCCATTATGGTATAGGATACATTCCAATTGGAACGTGCTCGACGAGAAGAGTATGTACATTTATAAAAAAAAAAAACAAAAAAAAAAAAAAACCTACAATGCCAAAGAATTTTAATGCGCAAACTCAATTTCGGCCGTTCCGACTCGTCGAAAAAAAAACAAGCGATTAAAAAAAAAATTGGATTCGAAAATAACAAAATTATCAAATAAATAAAACTCCATCAAGCTTTTGTAACACAGAGATATCGTTTTGAGGATTAGGATTTTCTTTTTTCTATATAGAATCTTTATAAATATATAGGAAACATTGATTCGGCTCGCAGAGAAAGTTCCGGTGCCAAACAGATGTGTAAATAATAATAATATAATAATAATAATAATAATAATAATATAATGATAATATTAATAATTATATAAATTGTCGAATGTAATTTCAGGGCGAACCAAATAAATGGCAAAATCTGAGAAAATGTAAGCGAGCGAATTTTTGCCGAATTTAATAAAAAAAAAAAAAAAAAACTTGTGAAAAAAGAAAAATATAGACAATTGGTTATCTCTGTGCTATTCAAACTTGATACGAGATTCTACAAAAAAAAAAAAAAAATGCCTTTGATATGTAAAGATAGAATCAAAGGAATCTCGACATACGGAAAAACTTAGTTTGTGTTTTAAAGCGCTTGTAGAACGCGCTCTCGCACTTATAGACAACTAATTAAATCCCGTAGACTCTCCGCTGGATGTCTTAAAAAAAAAACAATATTCAATATATTTGAAAAGAAGAAAAAAAAAAAAAAAAAAAGAATAATTACCGAATAAAATAATAAAAAGGGGAGACCCTCATGTCCGGATTATTGAGTATGGCCTCCTCTTTTCTCAAACCTGCCACTTGTGTAAGGGGCTCAATCACTCGTGCTTGAAATCCGGTGTTGAGAGCACGAGTGGAACACTTGCGGCAGATTTGCGAAACGATAAAATCAACTTTTCATTTTTCAGACCAAACCTTCCCCCCTTCTTCCACTCCACACATCCCCGCCCTGTAATACTGTAATATTTTCTGTTGCATAAGAATAGACGATTAATAAGCTATGAACAATCTACGTATAATAAATGAATGTATGTGCTATAAAAAAACAAAAAAATGTTATTCTTTTTTTTTTAGAATATACACTGAAAAAAAAAAAATTTATTTGATTCAAATACTCGATTACTTGAGTATTATTAAATAAATATTTACTTGAATCAAATAATTATTAATTGAATTAAATAAATTTTATTTGAAACAAATACCATTTAATTGACTTAAATAATAATTAATTATTTGATACAAATAAATATTTATTTGATAATAGTCAAGTAATCGAGTATTTGAATCAAATAAATTTTTTTTTTCAGTTTATAATCTAAAATCCTTGTCCATTTAATTTTTCCTTTCGCTTAAAATATATGAGTTATTATAGTAAAACAAAAAAAATAATTTACTTTTCTTTTGATAGAATTTTCTTTTAGCTAAATTTTCATTTCCTTGAATTATATTATATGTATTAAAGAGAATTTTGGTTTAAATGAATTCTCATATTATTGAATTTTTACTTAAATTTTTATAAAGAATTTCTATTTAAAACAATTTTCATTATTTTAAAAATTTCTATTTAAAGGCTGAATCCATTTCAAAACGTACAGGCCGACCACCTTCAGGTTGTAGATTTTTCTGTCGATGAAATATGTTATTCTACATGAAAAATAAAGAGACACGTATTTTTTTATTTTTCATAAAAATTATGTTTAACGAAGTTATGGTCATTTGAAGTTTGAGTGATAAAACTCGAAAGAACAATGAAAAAAAATTGTTTCGCCTGTAATTTTTTTTCTAATGAATGCAATCAAATTGTTTTTCTTGGATCTTGTAGGGGGTATATTCCTTTTTAAAATCCCATTTGAAATTTGAAAAAAGATTCAAAATTAACAAAACAGGAGATGATTTTCTAAAAACCATTAAAGTCAATTTTCTCAAAAACCCCAAATTTTTTTTGCTCTCTAATTTTTACCATAAATTCTTACCAATATGAAGAACCAATCCTAGGAGTTTCAAGCGGGCTAAACAATCCTGGTAGTAAGGAGAAATTATTTCGAAATATTTTTTTTACGAAATTTGAAATGGCTGACGTGCAGTTTCAAGAACAAATGAACTAACTGAAGTGAGTCATTTTATAACCAACAATAATGTATTCCAATATTCAGTTACTTTAAATGTGTTTTAAAGTGCAATAAAAATATTTAATTATTTATATGTGAAAATAATTCATAATAATTTGAAAAAATATTTTTTTCATATTTGAATTACTATAAAATAAACTATCTTGAATTTTTACTTAATCAATTTATTTTAAAATGAAATTTGCAAATATTAATTTCCAAATTGAAAATTAAAACTTTAAGTTTTTTAAAAAATTTTTGAATGATAATTTGAATTGGAAAATATTTCAAGAGTATATTACTGAAAGAATCACAATATTTATAAAAAATATTTTTTCTTTTTTCACCTTTTTATTAATTATATATTTATTATCATTGGTCTTAACGATACTTAAAATGTCAAATTATAAATTTTTTGATGTTTAGAACCTGTTTGAAAAAAGTGATTTTATGGTTATTTTCTATACATACATTATTGTTGGTTATAAAATGACTCACTTCAGTTAGTTCATTTGTTCTTGAAACTGCACGTCAGCCATTTCAAATTTCGTAAAAAAAAATATTTCGAAAAAAATTTCTCCTTACTACCAGGATTGTTTAGCCCGCTTGAAACTCCTAGGATTGGTTCTTCATATTGGTAAGAATTTATGGTAAAAATTTGAGAGAAAAAAAAAGGTTTTTGAGAAAATTGACTTTAATGATTTTTAGAAAATCATCTCCTGTTTTGTTAATTTTGAATCTTTTTTCAAATTTCAAATGGGATTTTAAAAAGGAATATACCCCCTACAAGATCCAAGAAAAACAATTTGATTGCATTCATTAGAAAAAAAATTACAGGCGAAACAATTTTTTTTCATTGTTCTTTCGAGTTTTACCACTCAAACTTCAAATGACCATAACTTCGTTAAACATAATTTTTATGAAAAATAAAAAAATACGTGTTTCTTTATTTTTCATGTAGAATAACATATTTCATCGACAGAAAAATCTACAACCTGAAGGTGGTCGGCCTGTACGTTTTGAAATGGATTCAGCCTAAAACAATTTTTATTATTTTAAAAATTCAAATTTAACTAAATTTTCAGAATTCTTGTAAAAATTACACAGGGCCACAAAAAAATGAAATTTTTTAATTTTCCAAGGGTCAAAAACAAATTAAGTACAGTGAAACCCACGTATATCGGACCCGCATAATTCGAATTCCCGCTTACATCGGATTTTTTTCCGGTCCTTTATGAAATCCCCCGCGTGAAAAACGAACTATGGGAAAAAGCTATCAAAAGCTGGCAAAAGATGGGAGAAGATTTTCGCCATTGTTTTTAAGTTTTATCCCATACTTCAAAGAATTGCAAAAAGCTCACAAACCATTGCTTATGAGCCTTTCCCATACTTTTTTTTAATATCATATAACATTGCTAAAATCTTGCCAAAGTATTGCAAAAATATGGGAATAAAATAAAGTCAATTTTTTCTAACTTACTTCTTATTTTTCTCATTTTTTTTCTGAAAAGCATTGCAAAACAATGGGAAAAAGATTAAAAAAGAAAAAATTTATTTTTCTCATTTTTTCATCTTTAAAAATTAGATTTTTAAAGTATTGCTAAAACCTGGCAAAAATATACGAACAAAATTAATCAATTTTTCTCGTTATTTTAGCTTTAAAAATCTGATTTTTGAAGTATTGCAAAAATATGGGAATAAGATTTTGAAAGAAAAAATCAATTTTCCTCTATTTTTCAACTTTGAAAATTTGATTTTTAAAGCATTGCAAAAATATGGGAAAAAGATTTTGAAAGAAAAAATCAATTTTCCTCTATTTTTCAACTTTAAAAATTTGATTTTTAAAGTATTGCAAAAATATGGGAAAAAGATTTTGAAAGAAAAAATCAATTTTCCTCTATTTTTCAACTTTAAAAATTTGATTTTTAAAGTATTGCAAAAATATGGGAAAAAGATTTTGAAAGAAAAAATCAATTTTCCTCTATTTTTTAACTTTAAAAATTTGATTTTTAAAGTATTGCAAAAATATGGGAAAAAGATTTTGAAAGAAAAAATCAATTTTCCTCTATTTTTCAACTTTAAAAATTTGATTTTTAAAGTATTGCAAAAATATGGGAAAAAGATTTTGAAAGAAAAAATAAATTTCCTCTAATTTTCAACTTTAAAAATTTGATTTTTAAAGTATTGCAAAAATATGGGAAAAAGATTGGAAAGAAAAAATCAATTTTCCTCTAATTTACAATTTTAAAAATTTGATTTTTAAAGTATTTTCCTCTATTTTTCAATTTTAAAAATTTAAGTTTTAAAGTATTGCAAAAATATGGGAAAAAGATTTTGAAAGAAAAAATCAATTTTCCTCTATTTTTCAACTTTAAAAATTGGATTTTTAAAGTATTGCAAAAATATGGGAAAAAGATTTTGAAAGGAAAAATCAATTTTTTTTTTTGATTTTTTCTTTCAAAATCTTTTTCCCATATTTTTGCAATACTTTAAAAATCAAATTTTTAAAGTTGAAAAATAGAGGAAAATTGATTTTTTCTTTCAAAATCTTTTTCCCATATTTTTGCAATACTTTAAAACTTAAATTTTTAAAATTGAAAAATAGAGGAAAATACTTTAAAAATCAAATTTTTAAAATTGTAAATTAGAGGAAAATTGATTTTTTCTTTCCAATCTTTTTCCCATATTTTTGCAATACTTTAAAAATCAAATTTTTAAAGTTGAAAATTAGAGGAAATTTATTTTTTCTTTCAAAATCTTTTTCCCATATTTTTGCAATACTTTAAAAATCAAATTTTTAAAGTTGAAAAATAGAGGAAAATTGATTTTTTCTTTCAAAATCTTTTTCCCATATTTTTGCAATACTTTAAAAATCAAATTTTTAAAGTTAAAAAATAGAGGAAAATTGATTTTTTCTTTCAAAATCTTTTTCCCATATTTTTGCAATACTTTAAAAATCAAATTTTTAAAGTTGAAAAATAGAGGAAAATTGATTTTTTCTTTCAAAATCTTTTTCCCATATTTTTGCAATACTTTAAAAATCAAATTTTTAAAGTTGAAAAATAGAGGAAAATTGATTTTTTCTTTCAAAACCTTTTTCCCATATTTTTGCAATACTTTAAAAATCAAATTTTCAAAGTTGAAAAATAGAGGAAAATTGATTTTTTCTTTCAAAATCTTATTCCCATATTTTTGCAATACTTCAAAAATCAGATTTTTAAAGCTAAAATAACGAGAAAAATTGATTAATTTTGTTCGTATATTTTTGCCAGGTTTTAGCAATACTTTAAAAATCTAATTTTTAAAGATGAAAAAATGAGAAAAATAAATTTTTTCTTTTTTAATCTTTTTCCCATTGTTTTGCAATGCTTTTCAGAAAAAAAATGAGAAAAATAAGAAGTAAGTTAGAAAAAATTGACTTTATTTTATTCCCATATTTTTGCAATACTTTGGCAAGATTTTAGCAATGTTATATGATATTAAAAAAAAGTATGGGAAAGGCTCATAAGCAATGGTTTGTGAGCTTTTTGCAATTCTTTGAAGTATGGGATAAAACTTAAAAACAATGGCGAAAATCTTCTCCCATCTTTTGCCAGCTTTTGATAGCTTTTTCCCATAGTTCGTTTTTCACGCGGGCCGATATACGTCTTCTCGGAATTTTGCATAATCTTGATAAATAATTATTGAAAAAAATGTTTAAACATTGGCAAAAAGGGGTTTCGTAAATTTCTTCTCATCTTTAAAGGATAAAGTATTTCGAGTTGGCATTTGGAGGAATAATAGAGGAAGGGTCACTGAGTTCATCACTCTTCTCCATTTTTGCAATAATATTGTGAGGAAATTATTTTATTAAAGATTTAAAGTGGAGTAATTTGGGGTAAGTTAGTTCAGCAGCGGCCACTAGCTAGAATTGGCGCCACATAGATTCAATGTCTGTCCCCACTTCTGTCAAAAATCCAACTTTTATAACCACAAAATTACTTGTAAAAATGGATATGATTCTTAATCAGCGAGCCCTCATCTAATTAATCCGAACAAAATATTTCAAGTTATTTACGAGTAATATCTCGCAAGGGAAAACACTTTTAGGTTAGGGATTTTTCTCGGATGGCCTTAATGCAATAAAAATACTGGAAATAAAATTTTATAATTTACATGAAATTTTTTTGAATTAATTTAAAAAAATTTTTTTTTATAATCTACATTGCCGATTTATGGTGAAATAAAAAAAAATGAAGATGTAAAAAATTACCGACTTACAGGAATCTATATTGCCGACTGATAGTAAAATGAAAATATTAAAATTTATCGACATACAGGAGTCTACTTTGCCGGCTGATGATAAACTAAAGATATAAAAAACCAACTTGCATGAATCTATATTATCGACTTTCATTTTTTTTCACCATTAGTCGACAATGTATATTTTATTATTTTTTCAAGTAGGTAATTTTGTATATCTTCATTTTAAATCAGTCGGCAAGGTACATTTCTGCAAGTCGATATTCATTAATGAAAAATGCAATTCGGTAAATTTTTATATTTTCGTTTTACCATCAGTCGACAATATAGATTCCTGATTACCGATTTACAGTAAAATCTCGGATAAGCAGAAACTCAAATAATAAAGAAGGCAGAAAGAAGGCATTAGAAATTCGAAAATTTTATAGTAGAATGAAATTTACACACAAAAGTAGGTTGGAAGTACACAGTTTAAACGAATTAGTTAAAAATTTTAAGTAAAAAGTCTTTATTTGTAAAAATTATAAAATCTGATAATATGTATTTTTAAAAAATTTGTAAAATTAAAACATTATAATATTTTAACAGTGATTTTAAAATCACTAATAATCGTTTCTTTTTTTCTTTTTCTTAATTCTTGTGAATACTGTTTCATATTAATAAATTTAAAAAATATATATATATATATCTATATGTATGTATAAAATATTTTTAACAATTGAACATTTATTTCTATTTTTTACACACTAACAGGATTTACGACAACATACAGTGAAATTTTCTTGATCGACGATATGATATTGATAATTTTTGTAATTTGCAAAATTCAATTCACGCGTTTCAATGGAGTGATAGTAAATTTTCTTAATTACCGGTGGAAAACTTGAAATTTTAACTGCAGCCGCTAACTCATCATAATAATCCCATTGTCGACCCATTAATCTATTGATATGTCTTATCTACAAAAAATATTTAATATATCTGTTTAAATTATAGTTATTTAATTTATTTATAAAATTAAATTTTTTTCTTTTCATTAATTAAAAAATTCTCGAAAATATATTAGTAAAAATTTCGTTGAATTAGAATAAAAGTTGATCCATTGAAATTCTTTTTTTGTACTTTTTTAATAAATTATAAAACAAAAGTAATTTTTCTTACAGGAATTCCAGATTCCAATAAAGATCTTTTCTCGTTATCGAATTCCTCTTTCATTTTTTCAGAATTAGGTAATTTGACACGACCTTCTAAAATTCCTAAAATATATTGAGCTTGAATGTGAAACATTGGAAAAGGTATGACAATTGTTGGTAATCCCATGAAAAATAAATTCGTAAATTTCATATGAACAAGATGTTTGTAAATTGGTTCTACGTGATTGTCTTTCGTACAAAGTTCCACTTTTTTTGATAAAAACGGGTACGTAAATTCGTATCCTGCAAAACAAAACAAAAAAAATACTTCCATTGTCTACTAACCTAATTAGAAAAATAATTAGTATTTATCTTCTATTATTTTAAATAGTAAAATAAAATTTTGGAAATTAATTCTTCCCTCATAACAAAAGGATATCCCTAGGATATCCATAGGATATCCATATCAATGGTCGATATCCTAGAATGGTCCCCAGGATATCTTGGGATATCCATAGAATATCTCTAGGATATCCAAACCGCCGGTCTGTGGGACATCAACAGGACATCCATAGGATATCCACAGGATATCCCTAAGACATCCTCAAAATATCTATTGGATATTATATCGCAGGATATCCTCAGGCTGTCCGTGGGATATTCTTAGGATATTCACGGGATATTTAATATCTCAATATATATTTTTAAAGGTTAAAATTGTTAAGCTACACTGAGGAAAAAAATTTAGTGTTTGCAACTAAATTGTTTGGTTAGGCAATTTTGGTTCTTGTAACCAAATTTTGGTTGGCTGAAACAAAGTCATAGGGTTATCTCAACCAAACATTTGGTTAGGTCAACAAAATTATTTGGTTGAACATTTTTAAATTCCAATCAAAATTTAGTTACGACAACAAAATAATTTGGTTAACACAACAAAATAGTTTGGTCTAAGAAACCAAATGATCGTTTGTTGTCCTAACGAAAATTTGGTTGCGACAACCAAATAGTTTGATTCGCTCTTAGATCATAGTTTAAGAGAACAGTTAGTTTAAATCTTTCACAAGGATGGGTAGTCCAGTGGTCAGAGCTCCCGACCTTCAGTTTTAAAACAGAGGTTCGATCCCAGGCGGAGGTGAGATTTTTCAAAGTCCATAAATATTTTAATTGGATATAAATATAAATTCAATGTTAAATTGATAAATAAATAATGAAATAAATAAAAAAGATAAAAAGAAAAGAGATAAGGTAGAATAAAATTTTTAATTTTACAAAAAAACTGTTTGTTTGATCAACCAAACATTTTTGTTGACCTAACAAAAAAAATTTGGTTGACCTAACCAAACATTTTTGTTATGCCAACAAAAAACACTTAACCAAATTTTTTGGTTGACTCAAATAAATAGTTTGGTTGCTTAAATACCAACAAAATTTTTTTGTTGGCCCAACCAAATTTTGGTTGCTCTGACTAAACATTTTTCTCAGTGATAATATAATGAATAATAATATAATAAAAACAAAAATCTTATGAGCTTCTAATTTATTTTAAATGAAGATTTGAAACGCATTTTTCAAAGTTTTTAAATAAACTCATGCACTTAATGTATAATTAATATTAATAGTTATTCGTTATTTTCGGGGAAGAATTTATATTGTTTAAAGCCAATTTATTTTCTGACAATATTAAGCATATGAATAAAGGAATGAATCACGAATGAGAAAAAAATTAGTTAATAATTTTTGAAATTAAACAACTTTCTCGAAAAACAAGTTACATTTTATTTTATTTATATATAAAATTTAATTCACAGAATATTCTCACTCGTAGTCTCATAATGACTTTAAAAACAGTATTCTGAGAATATCTTCTTGACATCCAGAAGATATACTGAGAATATCCTGAAAATATCTGTGGGATATCCTGACGATATCTATGGGATATCCTGATGATATCTGTGGGATATCCTGACGATATCTATGGGATATCCTGATGATATCTGTGGGTTATCCTGACGATATCTATGGGATATCTGGAGGACATTTATGAAAGTCTATATAGAGATATCCAGAAGATATCCTGTGGATATCCAAACCGCCGATTTTTTGGATATCCTTAAGAGATCCTTTTGATATCCATAGGACATCCCTAGGATATCTGTGGGATATTATCAATATATCCCAAGATATCTTGTGTTATTAGGGTTTATATAGTTTCAATATCAATTTTTAAATTAAAATTTTTCAATTCTTAATTCAATATAAATTTAGAAAGTTAATTAATTTTTTAAATATTTTATTTTTACAATTACCTGTGCAAAATATAAAATCATCAACCTCTGCGAACGAACCATCGTGAAAGAAAAAAGTATTTTCGCAAATGTAGTTAATTCCAGGCACTTGTTCCACGTTTTTAAACATTTTTGCATCCAAAAGCTCTGGAAGATTGTGACTCAGATAAATCTGTAAATATATTTAAAAATTTCCATAATTCGCGAGTCTTTGTAAAAATGAAGTGAAAAGAATTCAAAAATTTTTAAAATAGAATTTCTTTCACAAAAAATAAGAAACTTTAGATTATATTTATAATTCGTTTACAAAAGGTAATTATAACTATAATAATTAATTGTATTATTAATTAAAAATTAAAGCAAATTTTTTTATTCAACTAAAAAAGTAAAAAAATTTCAAGAACAAAATAAATAAATAAAAATTTTTCTTTACATTTTAACGAATGGTAATTTAATTTATACAAAATATTTTCGAAATATTTGAAAAATAAGAAAAATTAATAAATAAAAATTTTATTTAAATTTTTACAAAAATGGTAAGTTTTAAACTTTTTCTATTTTGTAATCCAATTGAATAGATTATAATACTTTTTATTATTATAATTATATAGAATATATATATACTTTTTCCGCAAATTTCGATAATTCAAGAGTGATGTCAATTCCAGACCATGAAGCGCCCAAAATACAAACTTTTCTACCGGTGTAATTTTCCGGTTTTCGATATTGATGACTGTGAATAATTCCACCGGGAAATGTTTCGATTCCTCGAATTTGAGGAAAATGTCCCACAGTGTAATGACCATTGCATAAAATAACAGCATCAAATAATTTTCTCTTAACTATTTTCGTTTGCAAATCTGTAAATGTCACCAACCAAATTGTTTGTCCACTCGATAAGATTTCAGGTTCCACGTGATTCACCAAAGTATTAAGCTATATAGGAAATGTGTAAATATTTTGATTCACCTTTGAAATATCATTAAGATTACATAATAGTTTTTTTTATGTTGTTGTTATTATTATTTTCTTTTTTTCTTATTTTTTTTCATTCCTTTTTTTAATTATTTTTTTTTTATTGAATTAATTTTTGATTTCAGAAGAAACTGGTTATTTTTAAAATTAATCTTTGACATTAAAATTTTATAGTTTTTGTTAAGTAGAAAAAAAGTTAAATTATCGTTTTTCAAGTTAATTTTGTATTTTTTTTCTCTCTCAAAATCACTTGTTAGAAACTAAAATAATGTTAATTTTAAACAAATTTTAAGTTTTTAATAAATATATAGATTTTAGTTAAATTTTAATGTTTAACTTTCTTTGTTAAACAATTTATATATATAAAAAATTATTTTTTGATTTTCTATTTTTTTTATCGTAATTTAGATTATTTGCAGAAAAAATTTCATATAGCTAAAACTGTATAAAAAAAAAAATGTTGACGATATTTTATAAACAAATAAAATTTGCTGAGTATAATAGCCCCAACATCACTGAATAAAAAAAGTATAGCGTTTTTTTTAAGCCCCGGTTGACGGTAATTTAAAATAAATTGTTTAAAAATAAGAAAACATTTTTTATACCTTAATGTGAGGATGTAAATTAAAATGTTTAGCATAATCGACAAGATATTGACGAATAACGCTGTGATGAACGAAAGAAGATCCCTCAGTATCCTTGAATGGAAAATCAGGAATCTGCATAATTTCTTTTGGCAAATTCGTTCTGTAAAAATAAAAATAACCTTTTGTTGATAAACAATTTTTTTTTGTGTGTTGTTATTTTTCTAAATTCTATTATTTCATTCTCTAGGCGAATTTATTTTATTAGAACATTTTTTTTTTTAATTTATAGCAAAAATATTAATTTAAGTTAAAATTAAATTAAATTATTTAATATTTAATTAATATTTCTTTAATTTATTTATACTATAAAGTTGAAGAAAAAATATATATATCCACAGAAAGTTTTCGAAAAAATTTTAATGTGAATTTTTTTTCTCCTTTTTTTTTAACAATTACCTGAGATTTTTGTACATACTGCTATGAACAGGTAGTCCATTTTCGTCAAATTCTGTTTCATCAGTGTAAACCCAAGTGCCACCAATGTTATTCGTTTGCTCAAAAAGACAAACGCTGTAAATTTCAGGTCTTGAAATTACATGTCTTGCAACAATTAATCCGGCAACTCCACCGCCGATAATTGCAATTCTAGTTTTACTGCTTGGCATTTTTGATTTCCCTTCTGGATTTAAAAAAGAAAAAAAAAAAAAAAAAAAAAAAAAATGTCAAATTTATTTTTACATTGAATATTTAATTAATTTTCAGTTTCTTTAATTTATTAATTAATTTTTTTTAATAAATTTCAATTTAATTTAATAATTAATTAATTTAATTCTTTAATAAATTTTCTTAATTTTTTGATATTCCAAATAGAAATTTTTTTTAATTTATTGTATCAATCAATTGATTTTATTTTCCAATAATATTATTTTCCTGTGTAAACGTTAAAATTTACTACTGATAAAATTTTTTAATTATTTCAGTTAATTTTCTATTATTTAAATTCTTGTTTCAAATTTAAAAAAAAAAACCTTTTTTTGCCAGTAAATAAATAAATAAGGAATAATTTTAAAAAAAAATTCTCGAAATAAGAAGATCAAACTTACATCACAATTTTTAAATAAAATAAAATAAAATATTTTTTTTTAAGAAAAGTTTTGTGAATTTTTTTTTTTTACTTCTATTTTTAATAATCTCAAGAGAAAATACTGTTGGAAAAAATGTTGATCTCAAAAAAAGGTAAACAATTCAAAAAGTGAACTGTCTCGATCAGCGTAAGAAGAAAGACTAAACACTGATTCTGAAAGTCGAACAAAACTTAATGGAGATACGCGACCTGAGTTGCATAAAATTCTCCATCGCACAATCTCTCTCGGTTGAGGTATTTTCCATCTTTCTTTTTCTTTGATATATGTATAAACAAAATAAACATGAAAAAAATTGCTTCCTTTTGCCTTTGAATTTAAAATGATAAATATAATTAAAAAAGAGAGGAATGAGCCAAAAAGAATATACATCTGACGAAATAGAAAAAAGATTGGGAGTCATCTTTTCTTGGTCCAGAATCTTTGACGTTCAACATCCTCGTCAATACTTCCCAAATCGTGTCTGTAAACACAAACATTCACTCATTACAAAACTGATAGTGAATCACATTAACACATTTCTCGAAAAATAAAAAACAGTCGCAAGATTATGAAACTGAAAGTATACGAATAAATTAAAATAATAATAAATTTTTTTTTTAAACGGTTCCAAAATTGTTATTGTTTCTATATTTATAAATAATAAATAATCTTTTTTATTAAGTAATTATTATTAATATTACATAATAGCTTATGCATAATAATAAATAAAATTAACTAATAATTTAAATTATATTAATTATCAATAATAATTATTAATAACTATAGTAAAATTATAGTCAATTAATTAATTAATTTAATTTAATTTAAGTCATTTAATTCTAAATTTTTTTTTCAAACTTACATCTCATTGTAAATTTGACAATTTGCTTTTACAAATTTTTAAAATATCATTTAAAGCGTTTAGGGTACCCTATGAAAATACGCTACTGAAAATTCTCATGTAGGATCTTATATAGGATCTCACATAAATTCATATATTAAAATCCACATAAAATCCTATGTGTCATGTAAGAAACTATATATAGGATCTTATGAAAAATCATATAGGAAATTGAGACATGATTTAAAGTAGGATTCGATGTAAATTCTTATAAACGTAATCTTAAGTAATAAATTATGAAAATTCCTATATGAAGTCCTACATTTTTTTCTGGTCCCATTTTTTCCTTCAATTTCTAATGTCAATTTCCTTCGTGTTTTCTCATTAAAAAAACATACTAAAATTCATTGCTCAATTCTTAACCAGAAATTTTCCTATATCAAATCATACATCAAATCTTTTTTCGATTCTTGAATAAAAAATTATTACAAAAAATCTGCCATGAAATCATATTAAAAATCTTCACCTTCTATCTATGATCTCTAATGATATTTTTGGGTTACACCTTCTGAATTAGAGTCTTATCTTTTATAGTATTCAAGACTGATTTCAATTGTGAGAAAAAAAATTATCACCATCTGGTGGCGTAAAAGTGGAACTATGATGATCTACATCTATATTGGAATTTTCCATATAATTTCCGACTTGGTATCTTAGATGGACAAATAAAACAGTGAAATCTACACATGACATCCCACATAAATTTCTATATGATTAATTCTTACATGAGATCCTATGTAGGATTCTATATAAGATCATACATAAGATTTTACATGGATTTTACATGGAATCCTACATAGGATCTCATGTAAGAATTAATCATATAGGAATTTATGTGGGATGTCATGTGTGGATTTCACTGTTTTATTTGTCCATCTAAGATACCAAGTTGGAAATTATATGAGAAATTATGTAGGAAATTATATGGGAAATTCCAATATAGATGTAGATCATCATAGTTCCACTCTTACGCCGCCAGATGGTGAGAATTTTTTTTCTCACAGTTGAGATCAGTCTTGAATACTATATAAAAGCTGAGACTCTAACTCAAAAGGTGTATTGCAAAACACCATTTTTTTTCTTTTCAGATGAATTGCAGTAATATTATTTGATTTTTAATTAAATAATTTTTAATTTTTATAAACTGCCGTCTGCAAACTGAAAATTCCTATATGAAATCTTATATTGTTTCCTTTATATAATTCTATGTGAAATCATATAGATATAGATATTTCAGAATCTACATAAAATCCTATATGATTTCTTATGTTCAAATCAATCATATATATGATCCCACGTGAGGATTTTTAATATGATTTCATGGCAGATTTTTTGTAATAATTTTTCATTCGAGAATCGAAAAAAGATTTGATGTATGATTTGATATAGGAAAATTTCTGGTTAAGAATTGAGCAATGAATTTTAGTATGTTTTTTTAATGAGAAAACACGAAGGAAATTGACATTAGAAATTGAATGGAAAAAATGGGACCAGAAAAAAATGTAGGATTTCATATAGGAATTTTTATAATTTATTACTTAAGAATACGTTTATACACTGCAAAAATAAGTGACTTATTTGGTATCTTACAATAAGATGTAATATGGAAAAATGATATCTTCCATCTTAAAAAAAGATATTTTGTAAAGTATCTTATTAATATTTAAGATGCTTTTTGCATTTTAACAAGAATTAAAATATTTCTTCCATCTTAAAATGTAAGTTACTTCGGTAAGTTTCTATAAGTAACTTGAAATATGATATTTGTGGGGTCATAAGATGTTTAGAAAAAAGATGCTTGTAAATTCTAAGATACGTCAGAATTTGAAGTTACTAAAATATAAAATACATTAAGCATCTTACATAAGAGGCCATAGTTAACCTCAAAATTTTTTTATCAAAAATATGTGAAGCACTTTGGCAAAGATATTATTAACATTTTAAACTAAGATATTTCAAATAACTAAAAAGTTACTACCAAAACATCTTATATTAAGATACTTCTTTTTACAGTGTAAGAATTTACATCGAATCCTACTTTAAATCATGTCTCAATTTCCTATATGATTTTTCATAAGATCCTATATATAGTTTCTTACATGACACATAGGATTTTATGTGGATTTTAATATATGAATTTATGTGAGATCCTATATAAGATCCTACATGAGAATTTTCATTTAACTATAAATTCTGATTTATCTAAAAAATAAAATTTATGTCTGATTATGAATATTATGCAATATAAAATGTCAAGCTTTCTTTAAAAAATCATTTTAAAATGTTTTAAAATGTTAGAATCTCAATTATTAAATAACTCATTTAAAAAAAAAACATTTAAAAAATTATAAATTCGACAGACGAATTGAAATGATTGCTTTCATTTTTTTTTTATTTAAAATATTTCTATTACAATGATAAGAAAAGCGCAACTAAAATCATATTACAATAAAAAAATGATAAGAAATTAAATTAAAATTTTTAATAGCGATAAAAAATATACCAATAAATTTTCTATAGGTCATAAAGAACGTATGCATATGGAATGAAACATGCAACAATAAAAAAAATATTAAATAAATAAATATCGAAAAAAAAAAACATTCAGAAAATAAATTATTTTTTTCAAGTTAATTTTATAACTATTTCTCTTAAGGGCATCCGGGAGAAAATAATGGTTTTGTAGATTTCTTCTCATTTGAAAAAGATAGAATATTTTAGGTTATAATTTTTTGGAAAGAATAGAGGAAGGTACTTCTCGGAATTTTGCATAATCTTGATAAATAATTAATATTGGAAAAAAGGGGTTTCGTAAATTTCTTCTCATCTTTAAAGGATAAAGTATTTCGAGTTGGCATTTGGAGGAATAATAGAGGAAGGGTCACTGAGTTCATCACTCTTCTCCATTTTTGCAATAATATTGTGAGGAAATTATTTTATTAAAGATTTAAAGTGGAGTAATTTGGGGTAAGTTAGTTCAGCAGCGGCCACTAGCTAGAATTGGCGCCACATAGATTCAATGTCTATCCCCACTTCTGTCAAAAATCCAACTTTTATAACCACGATTTTCAATACTCTTTTACCAAATTACTTTGTAAAAATGGAGATGATTCTTAATCAGCTCGCCTTCATCTAATTAATCCGACAAATTCGAACAAAATATTTCAAGTTATTTACGAGTAATATCTCGAAAGGGAAAACACTTTTAGGCACATTTAACATTAAATAACGCATTATTTATATTAAATAATTTAATTAATTAGAATTAATAAATTTATTGTATCAAATACTTTTTATTTGTATCAAAAAAATGAAATAATTGAATGAATTAAATTAATTAATATAGTTGCAAGTAACTCATTATTTTCGTTTCAAATAAACATTTAATTGATTAAAATATTTTTTTATTTGTCTTGATAAAATAGTGTATTAGTATTAAATAATTTAGTTTACTTGAATCCATTAAATAAAGTTATTGTATCAAATACTTTTTATTTGTTTCAATAAAACAAAATATTTGAGTGAAATAAATAAATTAATTGTTTCAAGTAAATCATTATTATCGTTTCAAATAAATATTTAATTGATTAAAATATTTTTTTATTTGTCTTGATAAAAAAGTGTATTAGAATTTAAATAACGAATTATTTGTATTAAATAATTCAGTTTATTTGAATCCACTACATAAATTTATCGTGTCAAATACTTTTTATTTGTATCAAATAAACAAAATATTTGAGTAAAATAAATGAATGAATAGTTTCAAGTAACTTATTATTTGTATTAAATAAATTTTTTTATTCAATTCAATTAATTATTTAATTGAACCAAATACGATTTATTTGGTTCGAATAAATGCGATTCAAATAATTCAAGTTATTTGAATCAAATACATATTTTTTTGATCCAAATAAAAAGTATTTGAACCAATTAAATATTTTTCAAATAATTTGAAGTATTTGAATTAAATAAATTTTTTTTTCAGTGCATTTTCCACTTTTTGATTTAAAGGGGGGAGTCATTAAATCTGCGGAGAGGTAAATGTATTTAAAAACGTATTAAAAATATCTTTTCTTCTATTACTAGGGGAAACTTTGTTAATATGAAAGTACTCTTTATCAAAAATAAATATAAGATGAAGAAATAGATGAAATTATTCAGAAAATGTCTTGTGACATAATTATACCATTTTCTCATGCAATAAACAAAAATTAGAACTAATCATTAAAATTTTTTGTAACGGCTTTATCAATTATTTCTTTTAAAAAACAAAATTCTTATACAATGTTTAGCATTTAAAGTGTATTTTATTGACTCTTAAAGTTGTGAGACAGGTTTTTCTGCATACAAAAAAAAATAATGTTTTAACTTTATAAACGTATATATATATATTGCCAAATCACATGATTTTCAAATAACTAAAGTTTACATCAGTGCACTCGATCTGACGTAATTTTTATAATGTTTGAAAGAGATGAAAAATTGTAACTCGAGACTACAGAAAAAATACTACAATTAATATTGTAACGGGGAATTATTAATTAAAAAGCTAATTATTTAAATGTATTAAATTTAAATAA